AGAATGCTAGAAATCTCGCAAGAAGCAAACTTTAATGGCTTAAAATAATAAAATAAATTTTTAAAAATAATAAAATACCCCACATATGCATTACTAAAATTAAATAGTTTGTATAAATTATTATATTTATAATATTTGTTATATTACCAAAAATATTCATTACTGATAACCCTTAGTTCATATGATTCGTATTAAAACTAAAAATACTTATTGCTGATAACCATTAGTTTATTTGTTATATTATAACCAAAATATTCATTGTTGATAACCCTTAGTTAGTCTATATGAGTCATATTTATAGCTGAAATCAATTAATTCATTTCATGGTCATAAGCATTTGAAAAATTAACTAGGTCATATTTAGAAATATTAGTAAAAAATAGATATATACTATTACAGAAAATCATATTGTACATTTTTATGTTCTATATAAATCCATAAATAAAAATTAAAAAATTCAATATTTTGAAAATTTGCAAATCAAAATACGACATACAAACAGACATACACACACATACATTCCAGAAAACAAACTTCATTCAAAGTTTGTTTAATATATCAATAATATATTTTTTTGAATAATTAAGTTACTAAATGAATACTGAGTGGTTAATTAGTAATAAAAATATTTTTATATAAAAAAACTAAAAATACTGTGAAATAAATTATCCTTATATTGCAATATATTTTTACTAACTTAAAACCTAAAATACGATTAACCTATTTATTTATTTTATTTTTACCATAAATCTTCTAATTTAATTATATAGTATTTAATAAAAATATGACAACAAATAAACAAATAATACTTATAGTAATAATAAATAATTAATAATTTTTATAACATAGAAATAATTTAAATTAAACACTAATTGTAATATTTTTCAATGATAGTTTTATTTTTTTAATATTAAATTATCATATTCTATATAAAATTATCTAATCTAAATCAGCAAACAATTGAAATTATTACTAGAATATATAAATTTATTTGATTATTATATTTAAACGAGAATAATTAACAATATAATTTAAAAATTATTAAAAAAAAATATTTTCTATTGACAATGAAAATAATAATCATATTTATTATCAACATTAAAATTTTAATATCTTTTAGTTATTAAATGAAATTTACAACATATATAATTATTAACAATTTTTCATATTATTTTTTTAAATTACAACAATTAGAACTATAAAAATAATAATAATGTTTATTAATTTATAAAAATTATTATTAATTTATTTATATAGCATTTTTATGAATTTTTATTTATCTAAAATAATTGTATTTTAATTATTGTAATGTTTATTTATGAATTATAAAATATTTTTTGTTTTATTTCAAAATCACTTATTTTAATATGTAGTAATAATAAGTATTTTTATAATAAAATATGTTTTAATTTTAAAACAATATTAATATAAATCTTTATTTAAAAAAAATAATTTAACATAATTAACAATTAAATTAACATAATCGTTTACATAATTTGAACACATAAATAATAATTTAATAAATAAGATTAAATTTTAAAATAAAAAAAAATAAATTAAATAACTTAATATTTCAAAATCTTTTATTAGTATTTATATTAAATTTAGAAAGAAAATTAACATTAATCAAAATATTATAAAAATAAAATTTAAACATTTAATTAAAAAAAATAGTTGATTACTATTTTTTAATATTAGTTAATATATTAACATTTCTATTTAATAATAATAATATAAATTATTTATTCAATTATACGGGATATGATTTTATCAATTATAATTTATAATACAGTACATAATATATTATAATCTTTTAAATCATTATTTTGCTGGTAATCCTACAAAACATGTCGATCTGTGTACACATTGGCCTCCTATGTACTGAAGCACATACGGTTCCTTACAGTCACAACCGGACATACAATTATTGGCACAGGGGACCATATAGTCTTTACGTACTCTTTCACAAGTCATAGGACAGGTATCGGCACATTCATTGTACACCTGTTTGATTGGATCACATTGATTACTAATTGAGACTAAAATATAAAAAATAAATATTATTATTATTATTTATATAATCAATGTGTATATTATTTAATATACATGTATCTATTTTGTGAAGTAATACAATAAAAATATTATCTTTAATTTCTACTAATTAATTAGTATAACTAATATTATATATATATATATACATAATATACATTATATACCTGATTCAATATAGACAACATTAATAATGAAAATAAAAGTTGCAATCAATACTATTTTATCCATCATTATTATCAATAGAAATAACAAATGTTTTATTGTTGAAACAAAATTTAACCTAGGTTAAAATTGAATATTAATTTGCTTTTTTGAATATAATTATTTACAATTTGTTTAATGACAATTATTTAAAATAGCTTTTCAAACTTATTAAAATTAATTTTTAAATATTATTAAATATCTAATTATATTTCATAAAAAATTAAATATGGCTGCCAGATAATGATAACATATGGGCATTTACTGACTAAATTAAATACTTATATTTTTAATAAATAATATTTTTTCTATGTATATCTATGTTGTTTGCAAATACTGTAATAAACATATGTGTAGTAAAAAATGCTAATCATATATATACCCGCTTTGCTTACTGTTACCTAAAGATTACTTTACAGATTAAATTTTACAATAAAAATATATTAATAAAATAACTTAATTTTTAAAAATCTTTTTTATTAGTATTTATAATATTTTTTTAAAATTAACAATAAACAAAATATTTTAACAATAAATTTTTTAACACATAATTTGCAAAAAAATAGTTAAAAATACAAATTTTGAATAGCAGTTAATATATTAATATCTCTATTTAATAATATTATATAAATTCTTTAGTCAATTATTCCGGATATGATTTTATCAATTATAATATTATATAATGTTTTTAGATTATTATTTTGGTTGTGATCCAACTAAACATGTTGACCTGTGTACAAACAAACTTGTTGTAGAACAAATTTGAGCTAGGTTAAAATTAAATATTAATTTACTTATTAAATATAATAATTTACAATTTGTTTAATGACTACTATTAGCAAAAGTTATTATGCAAATGGCTTTTCAAACTTATTAAATTAATTTTTAAATATTAATAAATATCTAATTATGTTTCATTTAAAAAAATTAAATATGGCTGCCAGCTAATGATAACATATGGGCATTTAAAATAAAATACTCAAATTATTATTAAATAATATTTATAAATAAAATAATTAACAATTTTTTAGTTTATAAGCTACAAAAAAAATAATTAATACAAATGTCTTATAAAATAATAAATATATTAGATATTAATTTCTAAAAAAATATTTCTTAAAATAAATATTAAGTTAAAAATATAGTTATTTGCAAATAATAAACATATGTGTATTAAAAACAATGCTAACCATATATACCCGCTTTGCTTACTGTTAACTAAAGTTTACTTTACAGATTAAATTTTACAATAAAAAAATATTAACAAAATAACTTAATTTTTAAAAATCTTTTTTTTTATTAATATTTATATTAAATTTTATTTTTGTAAATATTAATATTAATTAAAATATTTTAATAATAAAATTTTTACACATAATTTGCACCAAAAAATAGTTAAGATTACTAATTTTGAATATCAGTTAATATAGTAATATTTTTATTTAATAATAATAATAATAATAATAATATATAAATTCTTTAGTCAATTATATACCGGATATGATTTTATCAATTATAATATTATATATAATATTATATAATAATGTTTTTTAAATCATTATTTTGGTAGTGAATCTATTAAACATGTCGACCTGTGTACACATTGGCCATCCTTTTTGTCGAGCACATACGGTTCCTTACAATAACACCCGGACATACAGGACATTATACATCCCTTTATGTAGTCTCCAGTGCTTACAACATCTTGACAGGTAGTCGGACACATAGTACCACATTGTCGGTACTCCTGTTTCACTGGATCACAGTTATGACGAATTGGCCCTAAAATATTTTAAATAATAATAATAATAACTATTATTAATTAATCATTAATGTGTATATTATTAATACATTTGTTGAACTATTTGTATTTTATAATAATAATTTATAAAGTAATAGAAACATTATCATCGGTTTTTTGCAACTATCATATAATCATAATATATATATAATGTATACCTGTGAAAAATGATTCAATATACGTAAAATTAATAATAATAACAGTTAAAATCAATACTATTTTATTCATCATTATTATCAATCGAAATAACAAATGTTTTGTTGTTGAAACAAAATTTGCGTTTTTAAATTTTAAAGATTTATAATTTGTTTAATGACTAACTATAAGCAAAAATTTATTTGCAAATGGCTTTTCAAACTTATTAAAATTAATTTTTTAAATATTATATCAATATATCTAATTATGTTTTATAAATAAATTAAATATGACTGCCTTCTAATGATAACATATGGGCATTTAAAATAAAATACTTAAATTTAATAAAATAATTTATAATTTTCTAGTATATGAGCAACAACAAAATAATTAATATATTAGATATTAGTTTTTTAAATATATTTCTTAAAATAAATATTAAGTTAAAAATATAGTTGTTTTCATATAATAAACATATGTCTAATTAAAAAAATTTTAACCATATATATCCGCTTTGCTTACTTCTATCTAAAGTTTAATTTACAGATTAAATTTACAATAAAAAAATATTAATAAAATAACTAAATTTTTAAAAATCATTTTTATTAGTATTTATATTAATTTTCTTTTGTAAAAATTAACATTAATTAAAATATTTTAACAATAAAATTTTAATACATAATTTGCACAAAAAAATAGTTAAGATTACTAATTTTGAATATCAGTTAATATAGTAATATTTTTATTTAATAATATTAATAATAATAATATATAAATTCTTTAGTCAATTATACCGGATATGATTTTATCAATTATAATATTATATATAATATTATATAATAATGTTGTTTTAAATCATTATTTTGGTAGTGAATCTATTAAACATGTTGACCTGTGTACACATTTGCCACCCTTGTGGTCAAGCACATACGGTTCCTTACAGAAACAGCCGGACCTACAGGCCATTGGACATGCCTTTATGTAGTCTCCAGTGCTTACAACATCTTGACAGGTAGTCGGACACATAGTACCACATGATTGGTATTCCTGTCTCTTTGGATCACAGTTCAGACGATATGATCCTAAAATATTAATAATACAAAATAATTTAAATAATAATTATAAAAATAATAATAATAATCAATATTATTAATTAATCATTAATGTGTATATTATTAGTACACTTGTTGAACTATTTTTGTTTTTTATAATAATAATTTTTAAAATAATAGAAATATTATCATCATTTTTTTGTAACAATTATAATCATAATATATATTTAATGTATACCTGTGAAAAATGATTCAATAGAGACAACATTAATAATGAAAGCAAAAGTTGCAATCAATACTAGTTTATTCATCATTATTATCGAAATAATAAATGTTTTGTAGTTTAAACAAAATTGAGCTAGGTTAAAATTAAAATATTAATTTGCTTTTTTAAATTTTAATAATTTATAATTTTTTTAATGACTACTATTAGCAAAAATTTATTTGCAAATGGCTTTTCAAACTTATTAAAATTAATTTTTAAATATTAATAAATATCTAATTATGTTTCATTTAACAAAATTAAATATGGCTGCCAGCTAATGATAACATATGGACATTTAAAATAAAATACTTAAATTATTAAAAAATAATATTTTTAAATAAAATAATTTTCTAGTTTATAAGCAACAAAAAAAATTAATACAAATATCTTATAAAATAATAAATATATTAGATATTAATTTTTTAAATATATTTTTTAAAATAAATATTAAGTTAAAATGTAGTTGTTTTCAAATAATAATAAACATATGTGTATTAAAAACAATGCTAAACATATATATATATATATATACCCGCTTTGCTTACTTCTATCTAAATTTTACTTTACAGATTAAATTTTACAATAAAAAATATTAAGAAAATAACTTAATTTTTAAAAATCTTTTTTATTACTATTTATATTAATTTTTTTTTTAAAATTAACATTAAATAAAATATTTGAACACATAATTTGAAAAATATGGTTAAGATTACTAATTTAGAATATCAGTTAATATAGTAATATCTCTATTTAATAATAACAATAATATATAAATTCTTTAGTCATTTATAGCTGATATGATTTTATCAATTATAATATTATATATAATATTATATAATTTTTTTGAATCATTATTTTTGTTGTGATTCAACAAAACATGTCGATCTGTTTACACATTGGCCTCCTTCATACTCAAGCACATACGGTTCCTTACAGTCACAACCGGACATACAATTCAATGGACATATAGCCGGGATATTTTTACGTAATCGTTCACAAGTCATAGGACAGGTAGATGCACATTGTCGGTACACCTGTTTGACCGGATCACATTGTGTACTAATTGAGACTAAAAAATAAAAAATAAATATTATTATTATTATTTATATCATTAATGTGTATATTATTTAGAATACATGTTTCTATTTTTATGAAATAATACAATAAAAATATTATCTTTTTTCTACCAATTAATTAGTATAACTAATATATATACAGTATATACAGTATATACCTGATTCAATAAAGACAACATTAATAATGAAAGCAAAAGTTGCAATCAATACTATTTTAATTATTATTATTATCAATCGAAATACAGTAACAAATGTTTTGTTGTTGTAACAAAATTTAAGCTAGGTTAAAATTAAATATTAATTTGCGTTTTAAATATAATAATTTATAATTTGTTTAATGATTAACTATTAGCAAAAATTTATTAGCAAATGTCTATTCAAACTTATTAAAATTAATAATATTTTTAAATAAAATAATTTCTAATTTTCTAGTTTATAAGCAACAAAAAATAATTAATACAAATGTCCTGTAAAATAATTAATATATTAGACATAAATATTTAGTTAAAATATAGTTGTTTGCAAATTATAAACATGAGTGTATTTTTTTTTAAAAGCTAACCATATATATACCCGTTTTGCTTACTTATATCTAAAGTTTGTTGTGATTCAACTAAACATGTTGACCTGTTTACACATTGGCCACCCTTTTTGTCGAGCACATACGGTTCCTTACAGAAACATCCGGATTCACAGATCAATGGACATGCCTTGAATCCAGGACTTAAAATATCTTCACATGTATCCGGACATCTTGTACCACATTCAAGGAACTCCTGTTTCATTGGATCACAGTCCTGACGAATTGGCCCTAAAATATCTTAAATAATAATAATAATTACTATTATTAATTAATCATTAATGTGTATATTATTCATACATTTGTTGAACTATTTTTGTTTTTTATAATAATAATTTTTAAAGTAATAAAAAGATTATCATCGTTTTTTTTTGCAACTATCATATAATCATAATATATATTTAATGTATACCCGGGAAAACTGATTCAATATAAACAATAATGAAAGCAAAAGTTGCAATCAATACTAGTTTATTCATCATTATTATCAATCGAAATATCAAATGTTTTGTTGTTGAAACAAAATTTAAGCTAGGTTAAAATTAAATATTAATTTGTGTTTTAAATATAATAATTTACAATTTGTTTAATGACTAACTATTAGCATAAATTTATTTAGAAATGGCTTTTCAAACTTATTAAAATTAATTTTTAAATATTATTAAATATCTAATTATGTTTCATAAAAAAATTAAATATGGCTGCCAAATAATGATAATATATGGGCATTTAAAATAAAATATTTAAATTATTAATAAATAATATTTTTAAATAAAATAATTTATAATTTTCTAGTTTATAACTTATAAACATCAAAAAATAATTAATACAAATGTCTTGTAAAATAATTAATATATTAGATATTAATTTTTAAAAATATATTTCTAAAAATAAATATTAAATTAAAATATGGTTGTTTACAAATAATAATAAATATATGTATTTTTTTTAATTGCTAACCATATATATACCCGTTTTGCTTACTTATATCTAAAGTTGGTTGTGATTCAACCAAACATGTTGACTTGTTTACACATTGGCCATCCTTTTTGTCGAGCACATACGGTTCCTTACAAAAACACCCGGACCTACAGGACAGTACACATGCCTTGATTCCAGAGCTTACAACATCTTGACAGGTATCCGGACACATAGTACCACATTGTTGGTACTCCTGTTTCACTGGATCACAGTTATGACGAATTGCCCCTAAAATATTTATAAAAAAAATAATAATAATAATCACAATAATATGTATATTATTAATACAGTTGTTGAACTATTTTTGTTTTTTATAATAATAATTTTTAAAGTAATAGAAACATTATCATCATTTTAATCATAATATAACTAATGTATACCTGGGATAAATGATTCAATATAGACAACATTAACAATGAAAATAAAAGTAGCAATCAATACTAGTTTATTCATCATTATTATCAATCGAAATAACAAATGTTTTGTTGTTGAAACAGCTAATTTGAGCTAGGTTAAAATTAAATATTAATTTGCGTTTTTAAATTTTAATAATTTACAATTTGTTTTAATGACTACTATTAGCAAAAATTAGTTTGCAAATGACTTTTCAAACAGTATTAATAAATTTAAACATATCTTTCATCTAATGATAACATATGGGTATTTGAAATTAAATACATTGATTATGATGTAAAAAGACCATAATTAAAAGTATTTACTTTTAATTATTATTATATTAAATACCAAAAATAAATAATATTTTCAAATAAAATAATTTACAATTTTTAAGATTATTAGCAACAAAAAAATAATTAATACAAATAGCTTGTAAAATAATGAATATATTACTAATTAATCTTTTGAATATATATTTTTTTAAATAAATATTAAATTAAAATATAGTTGTATGCAAATATTGATTTAGTTTTTTTTAAAAAAATATATTAGTTATATATTCTGTAAAATATTTTAAAATTATTTTTTAAAAATAGATATAACTGTACAGTAGTTACAAAATTTATTCATCAAATAGAAATCTCTATGCATTGCTTTGGTTACTACTATAGTCTATAGATTAATACAAAATATAATTTTGTAAATTTTTTTTGGTGTATATTTACTAGTGTGACCTAGAAATAACTTTATATATTTTTCTATAACTAAGTGATGTAAAATATTTTTGGATAATAGTGAGTGAGTGAGTGAGTGAGTGAGTGAGTGAGTGAATGAGAGAGAGAGAGAGAGAGAGAGAGAGAGAGAGAGAAAGAGAGAGAGATAGTTAAGATGAGTTGAGTTTGGATATGATAACTGTTGCACAGAAAAACAACTTTTTGATGTCTTTTATCCTAAACGACAGCAAAAATCAATAATAAAATATTTGACTCCTGTGTGCTTAGCATCCCTGTCCCTGTAATACATACAAAACTCTGTATACTAATAGTACTGTATATACATTATATGCATATCTCTCTCTCTCTCTCTCTCTCTCTCTCTCTCTCTCTCTCTCTCTCTCTCTCTCTCTCTCTCTCTCTCTCTCTCTCTCTCTCTCTCTCTCTATCTATCTCTACTCTAATAGTGAATGATATCTCTCTTTAAGTGAAGAGAGAGAGAGAGAGAGAGAGAGAGAGAGAGAAATTGATGAGTAAGTGGTATACAGAGTATAGTATTGTAAGATAGATATGTATAGTGAAAGTCCTGGTAATAGTGTTGTATCACTGATAGCGCAAACTGAGTAACATATTTATACAGTATATATATATTGAATATATAATATTATATATTGTATATACACTTACTGTATATGATGTGCTGAAATGAAGTTGATTATTATTATTGTATATATATATATATACAAAAAAAGGGTGTATTAAGTAGGACTACAATAGATATATTCAATAATAATAATGATTTTAATAATAATATAGATAATAAGTTTTTTTAAATACTTGTCAGTTTTGGTATATTATATATTTAGTACATAATAGTTGTTAATTTATTTGAATAAGTAAAATACAATATTTAATAGTTTACCCTGGATAATATTTGATCAATCGTCAGGAGCAACAAGCTAGATTTAGTAAATATTTTTTATATAGTTATATACTTAATCTCTCTCTCTCTCTCTCTCTCTCTCTCTCTCTACCGGGGAAAGGGTTATACTTGTTTATCGGGATCGTTACCCCATTGGATATCATCCTATTATTTTTATTATTATTAAAGCAATTCCTGACACACTAACTGTGCTCTATGGAGAGCAAGAGTTAGATAAAACTATATATACAGTATATATATATATATATAGTACAGTATATTATATGCCTATTAGGATAAGAAACTGTATTTATATATATATATATATATATATATATATACGGGGATTCATAGAGCAAGCACTAGTAGGGAAAAATAGGTGTCGATGCTATTGGAGGAGTAAGAAAATCTGGACTAATAGTAGTGAATATGATAGATATATACAATACTATACAGTACTGTTCAATACCAAACATCTAGTATTATATCATTGACAGTAGTTGTAAATGATCTCAAAATTTATATACAGTTATATATATATATAATAACAATATATACGTTATATAATATGTCAAATGATGTCTAAAGTTTTTTTATGAACTAAAAAAAAGTTAACCGAAAAAAATATAATAATAATAATAAAATAACATTTACTTTATTTTACGAAAAAAATTGTAAAAATATAATTTTAACAGTCCATTCTATGGTGTGCTGTTATACAGTGTATATATATATATATAACTTATCTATGCCCTAAATATATACAGTATATATTCAAGAATTTATTATTTATAATAATAATAATACAAACAAACCTATAAAAATTATAAAAGATTTTTATTTAATTATAAATGTTAAAAATTATATACTGTATATCTATTGTGTATTATTAACTAAATTAAAGTTATGTTTATAGTTAATATAATTGTGCCATCATTGTGTGTTAATGTATAATATTATTTGATACTATTTATGTTACTTACCTGTTGCATAATAGTAATAATTTAGCAAGTTTAATTTTTGCAAAATTTTTTTTATTGATGTTTATTACTTATTTTTAATAATAACTTGTAAACTTGTAACAATTTAAATAATTTTTTAGAAGTTTAATTAAAATTTATATAATAGTGATAAAATTGTTGAACAATTAATGTTTTGTTGTTGGTGTTATTGTTGCTAATAATTATAGTTAATAAAAATTTTATAATTATTTTAAATTTGTTATTAAAGTAATTAATCTTAATAAATTATTAAATAATGACATTATGTTATTGTTGTACAATTGTTATAATAATAAATTGATTTTAAAGTTTCAATTATTTAATATTGTAAAATATAGTGTTGTATTTATATATTATAAAAAGATATATTTATATATAGTATATGCTGTATATATATAATACTCTATATTGAGTTAAAATATTTTTTTTGCATAAATTATACGGATTTATAATTTTTCTGGAGAAACGACAAATATTTGTATAAAAAAAACTTTGATATATTAATTAAATTAACTTACATTAAATTTGCTTATATTGTTGACTATATCTATCTATATCTATATATATATATACTGTATATATATATATTGTCAAATTAATTTTTGATGTTTTAAATGATGATTTATTTTATATTAACTATACTATTATATTAATGTGTTTTTTATAGAAATAAATATATATAGATATATATAATAGCAGTTTAATGAGCTTTTAAATCGGATTTAACATATCATTGCACATATATAATAAATTTATATGTTTAAACGTTTTATACTATCAATATATATATAAATATATATTGATATAACAGTTGACATGAAATTACTGTAGAGTTATAATACAGTATAAAACTCTACAACAAAAATATCTACAAATAAAGTCTTTTAAAAATTATAACATAAATCCCATAATAGAGAGAGATATATATATATATAAACTGTATTTTGACGGTCTCTCTCTCTCTCTCTCTCTCTCTCTCTCTCTCTCTCTCTCTCTCTCTCTCTCTCTCTCTCTCTCTCTCTATCTATCTATCTATCTTTAGTATTAAATCTAAGAACCGGGAGAGAGAAATGGATAAAAAATATATGGCAAACATATCGTCTATTTTTAATAGTACTAATACTAATACCAATAATAATAATAATAATAATAGAGAAGCTTGTGCTGCAGTGACCGACACCGATACCATCATCACCACACCCTCCACCACCACCACATCCAACAACAACAACAACAACAACAATAGTGTCAATATTAAAACTACAACAACAAACAGTACTGATATACAGAAAATAAGTAGTAATTTTAAAGACTGTATCATCAAAAATGTTGATAAAATTACAAACAATAATAATAATAATAAAATCATTTCCGAAGAAATACAATACGTGGACACAAGTATTGCCGACATAGAAGAAGAAATTATACGCCAATCGTCGACAATGGCATCGCTGCAGTCGGTTCTGGCCATAAGCCCGACAAACACAAGTCAGGGATTACAAAATTCACGATCGGCCGGACAGTTGGCCGCCGATGCCAATGAGGCCACCGGTTTGGGCGGCGGCGGCGGCACCGGCAGCTTAAGTATTAACAAAAGCAATTCGTGTTCAATGGACTGGCGCTACATCACAGCCCGACCGGTACCCGAACGGGAAAATTGGGACAAAAAAATTGAATTTCTATTAGCAGTGATAGGGTTTGCCGTCGACTTGGGTAATGTCTACCGATTCCCGTTTATATGCTATCGTAATGGTGGGGGTATGTATGGTTGCAAATTATGGTGTTTTTTTGATATGTTTTTTTTTGTATTTATTAATTTAGATTATTAGTATTATTTCGGTTTATTTAATAATTTTTTTTTAAAAATATTTATAAGTTTTTTTTACTATAAAGTTATTTATTTAGTTAAAATTATTGATTTAATACTATTGTCTAAATTTATATAATAAATGTTTTTTTTATTCAATATTATTTGTTTTGACTATTATTTGTAAACTAATTAAGTATAAATTAACAGTATTTGATTTATTTATTATTGAAAAAAATATGCATAATGAAATTGTATTTATTTATTTTATTTTTCAAAAATATAAATTGATATTTAAAATTTATTTGTTTTATATAGTTTTGTGAAATATAAAAATAAAAAAATAAATAATTTTTTTTTATTTTATCAGCAATTAGATGAAGTTATGCATTTACTGTAAGATTATACGCTCTATTAATTACATAATGTTACACAAAAAAATATATTAATTAGTTTATATTTCATTAAATAACCCAGTTTATTTATATTTTATTAATATTGTCTATTAATGTTATCTAGGTGCATTTTTAATACCATATGTTGTAATGTTGATATTTGGTGGACTGCCATTATTTTATTTGGAGCTGGCATTGGGTCAGTACTATAAAAGCGGTTGTATTACTATTTGGAAAAGTTTATGTCCAATAATGAAAGGTATTATTTTTTTAAAAAAAACTATTATATATTTTTAGTATTAATATAATATGTATATTAATTTTATAAAATATAATAACTAATTTTAATTTTAAATACAATTGATATTAATAAACAAAATTAAAATTGTATTGATAAGAAAAAAATATTTTTTATTTATTAAATAATAATTGTATCTATTTCTAGTAATTATATTGTTAATTGCAATTATTTTTATGTATAAAATATAGTTTTTAATAAAATAAATATACATTATTTGTAATACAGTTATTATTTATAACTATTTGGTTAACTTTAGATTTAAATCACTTATAGTTTGTTATATTTATATTAATTTTTCAGTATAGTCTAAAAATAGTTTCATAATTTCATAAATTTATTTATATTAATACTTTTTTTATAGAATTATTAATTGTTTTTTATTAATTATATTAGATTTTTATCCAGTTTTTTTAAATAGCAATAAAAAGTTTTTAATTTCCTATTTTATCTTTTTTATGTAAAACAAATTAAACATTTTTTTATTGTTAATATCTTTAGTGCTTTAAAAAATAATTGTCATATTCTGTATAAAGATTTACTATATAAGGTTTATTATATACTGATAAAAATAATAAATAAAATTTGTAAAATTTAAAAAACAATACAATATTTACTGTCAATTAAAAACTAAAAAAAATATCTATTGCTAGATTTATACTTTATATTTATAAATTTAATTATTTATTTTTTATTAAAATTATTTTAATAACTATTATATTTACATATTAAATAAACTAAAACTTTAGATAGAAAATATATTTTTTAAATCATAAAAATTTTTCAATATTATAAAATATTATTAGAATATACAAACCAAACATGTTATAAGTTATATATTATATTTAAAAATCATATTTTTTTAAAACTTACCTAGACACTAAACAAAATGTTTATTATTATTTGTTGTTGCAAAAAAATCAGGTATTGGTTATGCCATATGTTTTATCGATCTGTACACTGGTATGTACTACAATACAATAATAGCCTGGGCATTCTACTACCTGTTTGCATCGTTGGCCTCCCTGAGCACATTTGAACTACCCTGGACCAAATGCAATAACACATGGAATACAGCCAAATGCAAAACAATGGAATTTAGACGTAGTATTAATGGTACGAATACTGATGATGTTAGTCCAGCCCAAGAATATTTTGAGTAAGCTAGATCAATTAATTAAGTAATTTAAATATTTATCTTTTTAAAAATTGTTTAAATTTTAATATATATAATTATTTACTATAAATACCTAATTTTAGTATGTATTAAATATATATATACACTATTATTTCAATTTGTTTCTAATTTATTTTCTAATATTTTATTTATTTGATTTTATTGGGAATTTTTATTTATTGACGATAATCTATTATATAATAGCAAAAATAAGCAATATTACAATTTTTTTATCATCAAATAGCTAGTATATTTAGTAATATTAAGCATATTTTAGCTAGTTTATTGCATACAGTATTTAAATTGAATTAAAATTGTTAATCGGCTTTTATTTTAATAATATAAAAATACTGTACAGTACTTATGTTTATAAATGTTTTATGTCTATAAAGTCTATAAATTTCAAAAATAAATAAAATAATCTAAGTAATTTTCTATAATTTAAGACATATAATTATTAGTTTTTTAATTAAATCCTATAATATAAAATTAAATAATATATTTATAGTTTATATTTATATCATATTTATTAAGAGTTAACTATCATTAGACAGTTGTCAACTATATATATATTGATTTAATGGTGAATTGATTGTTTAGTAACTTCTCATTGGACTTATCAGCAAAAAAAACTTTATCCCATAAATTAAATTATGCTATTATTGTACAGTATATATACAAAAACAAATATATAATAGATAGATATACTGTATATGTATATAAGTATAATATAATATGAAAATATTTTTTTTGTGCTTTTATGTATGTGTGTGTGTTATCAATGATTTCTTTCTCATTATTTATTTATAACACATTATATGACACTAAATATTATTATTATTATTTTTATTGTTGATAAAATACACTTTCAATATATGTGCAAAATATAATGTAAATATATATATTTTTTTAAATAACTTAATGAATAATAACTTTAAATAATATTTAATATGAAATTTTTAGATAAATATTTTGATACATTTATTATGTCTATCAAAAAATATTATTGATGCCTTAAAAAAAGTGCTATCATATAAATTTCATATCATTTATATTAGTAAATGTTTGAGTTAATTATCATTTTTGTTTTGTTTAACCGATTGTTAATATTTTTAATTAAAATAAAATATTTATATATATATATATTCATAAATATTTTTAATTAATTATTTAAACAATTTACTGATGCAAACTGCGTAAGTAATGTAAATAATACAACAAAATATTTAAAAATCAAATTTCATTTTTTTAGTCAAAAATATTTTTTTAAATTTAAATTAATTTTTAATTAATATTTTTTATTAAAAAATACATTACAATGTGCTTCAGGTATATAATAATATATATATAATTAACAATAGTTTGCTTTTTAATATACAGTATAGGTATGTATAGTGTGTATGTTTTTGTGTGTGTCTATCGTTTAATAAAATTTTCAAAACAATTATTATTTTTGAATCAATAATTGAATAAATAAATTGTATTTATTTGAATGTCAGGAATTGTGAAGATAAGAAAATATCAAAAAAAAGTAAAAAGCAATTCAAGAGAATATTCATTGAATACTATTTTATTATATTAACTGTTTATAAATATACTGAACTTATATGCTATTTATTTGATAATATATATACATTTGATTTTATGTGACATTTAATTAAATTTCTACACTCACTCACACACACACACACACAGAGAGAGAGAGAGAGAGAGAGAGAGAGATGATTTTACTTAAACATATTTAAATAAAAATTAATTAATAGTTCATTAATAAATGTGAAAACTACATTCAAATATAGCTAAAATATTTATTTCATAATAAATATTGTTGATGTTTACGATTGATAATAATAATAATACAGTAATAATACCAATTAATTAATTGACCAAAAATGGACAAATGTTGATTGAATGTAATAAAATAAATGTTTATATTTATTATTATTAAATTGATTAAAGTAATAATACTTACATACGATATAGTACTGTATATATATAGTATAAATTTATATCAATCTTTATATATTATAACGAATATACAGTAAATACAGTACAATATATACAGTATTAATACTCTATATTAATATAATACATGCATAAAAATTTAAGTCTTAAAATTATAATAAATTGATTTATTGAAACTGTAAATAAAATTATTTTTATACATAAACAATAAGATAAGTGATAATTATAGTTTATAAATTATATATTTATTTTAATATTAAGTTTATATATATAAGTTTTTTTTAAATGAAACCAGTTTAATATTTGACATTATAGTTTATAAATAAGTTTTTAAAAATTAATATTATCTCTATATTAAACCAGTTAAGAATGCTAGAAAGCATTTTCAGAAAAAAAACTTGAATATCATTGAAAACCATTAGTTTTTATAATTATAGCGGCTATATAGTATAATACATATAATATGACAATGTCAAAATATACTCAACTTTAGTCATGTAGAGTATCAAATGATTCAGCATGACAATATAAACTCAACTATATCCATGTGAGGTATCAAATAATTCAGTATGCCAAAATAAACTCAACTATATCCATGTGAGGTATCAAATAATTCAGTATGCCAAAATAAACTCAACTATAGTCATGTCTAGTATCAAATGATTTATATAACAAAATAAACAACTATAATGATACTTTTAAATAAATGAATTTTGATCTATTATACATTATTTTTGATGCTCTATACAATTCTAAACGTTAAAAATTTCCTAAATTTTTTTTTATACATTTGCCGCCATTTTTTGAAAAAAATAAAAAATAATGCTGATTTATTATATATTATTTTTGATGCTCTATATAAACGATAAACTAAACGTTAAAATTTTTACCTAAATTTTTTACTTTATCCGCCATTTCCTCTATGTTCCCGAAGAGATATCAAAATTTTAATGCATATTTCTTATGCTTATTTTTGATGCTTTATTCAAATCTATACTTAAAAAAAATTTTCTTAAAATTTTCTTTATTTTGGCAGCCATTTTCTCTATGTTCCCGAAGAGATATCGAAATTTTAATACAATTTTTCAATAGATTATTAGTAGTCCTTTAACCGAATCTGAAGTCAGAATTTCAAAATTCGCAAAATGAAATGCTACACACACACACACACACACACACACACACACACACACACACACACACACACACACACTAAAAAGGCTCATATAGATTTCAGAAAACAAAACTTTTCAAGTTTTTTTTTTGAAAATAATTATCTTGATTTAAAATGAATATATACTGTATATATATATATATATCAGGGTTAAGCAAGGTTTTGGATTTTAGGGGGGGGGGGGGGGTAGACCGGGGTAAAATTTACAAAATTCTCAAAAAATCTTGGGGGTATTGGGTGGGGTAAGATTTTTATTGCATTTTTAAACGGCAATTTTTTCAAAAATCCAAAATCAAGGGGGGGGTCTAGAGAAAATTCCCTAAAAATTCCTTAAGTTCCCGAATATTCCCATGTAAATTCAATAAAATTCCCACAAGTTCCCGTATAAATTCCCGGGAAAATAGGTAAAATTTCCAAAAATATAAAAAAAAACTTAAAAAACTTAAAAATTAACAAAAATTTTAATTTTAATAAAAAATAAATATTTTTAAAAAAATTTTTTTTAAATTAATAAAAACTTAAATTTTAACAAAAAAAATAAAATAATGTATTTAAGATTTAAAAATAGTTGATAAAAGCATTAATGATACACTATGAGTTATTTTTAGTATTTTAATAATTTTTAACTTTTAACATAATTAATTTTTTAAACAATACTTAATGTTTATAGTTTGTTATATATTTTTATTTTTATACAAATACTGACTGAATACTACTTATTTAACTCAAATTTCGTTAAAGTTTAATTATATTAAGTACAAAATTGAAAATATTTTTAAATTTTTTATTTAAAATTTAAAAATTATTAATAAAAACATAAGTATTTATTGTTTTATTAACTTCTTAAACTTATATTTAAATTGTAATATGATTACTCTTTTCAACAAATAGGTAATTTTTAATTTTTTAGTTTATTTTAATTAAAATAATGTTATTTTTTGAAGACTTTTAACGTTATTTTAACTATTTTTAATCAATAATTAGATTTTTATAAATATTAAAAACATAAAAACACTTACTAAAATAGTATCAACTAAAATTAAAATTTTTATAAATTTCAAAAAAATTTTCGGCGCCTTCGGCGCCGAAATTTTAGGGGGGGGGGGGGGGTCATTTCTCCTCGTTTTTAAGCGACAATTTTTTCAATTTGGTCAAAAAGTCTGGGGGGGGTAAAATCCCAATTTCTCGATCTTAGGGGGGTATTTTGGCCTTACCCCCCTACCCCCCTTACTTAACCCTGATATATATATATATATATCAGTCAAAGTTAAATAAAATTCATGCTTTTTATATTTAACTATTTTTTCATCAATAATATCTACTTTTATTTTGCTCATAATAATGATAGTATTTATTATTTTGGATATATATATATAAATTATATATAACTTAATATAAGATTAAATATTAACTAATTTGTTTTGAAATAGTTGTCATTGTTAATTTGCTTGAACACTTTCACCATGGCAATTGATAATTTAGCATTTTTTGCATATATTTGATATAATACAAGAAAAAACAACAATTTAGTTATTTTTTTTAATTTAGATATTTTTTTTAAATATTCAGTATATATAGTAATACAAAATAAATATACTGTTTTTTATTAATTTATTTTAAATTTAATGATATATTTAAAGTTAAGACAACTGATTATTTTAATGTTTTAAAAAAAATTTATTGATCATAATTTCTAAAAAAACACAATTAAAATTTACAAGTAATATATAGATTTAGTAAAAATTAATTTTACTATTTTTTTAATTTTAAAGTAACTATTTAATTAGAAATTGTTGTAGAAATAATAAACATATTAAGCATGTACAGTATATACAGTTATATACAATTATATTACTGTATACTATTTATAATATAATATAAAATAATTTTATTATTATTAGTATTATTTTTGCAACATTTTATTTATTTTTTTTAAACAGATATCAAGTGCTGGAAATGCATCGGTCGACTGGTATCGACTCAATTGGCCCAATCAAGCTATCCCTTGCATTTTGTCTGATGATGGTATTTATTTTGGTATATTTTTCATTGTGGAAAGGCGTCAAAAGTACAGGAAAGGTATGCAATTTCAAACAATCATTATATAAAGTCTATATTATTATGTGTGTGAGTGTGTGAGTGTGTGAGTGTGTGAGTGTGTGAGTGTGTGAGTGTGTGAGTGTGTGAGTGTGTGAGTGTGTGAGTGTGTGAGTGTGTGAGTGTGTGAGTGTGTGAGTGTGTGAGTGTGTGAGTGTGTGAGTGTGTGAGTGTGTGAGTGTGTGAGTGTGTGAGTGTGTGAGTGTGTGAGTGTGTGAGTGTGTGAGTGTGTGAGTGTGTGAGTGTGTGAGTGTGTGAGTGTGTGAGTGTGTGAGTGTGTGAGTGTACGAGTGTGTGAGTGTACGAGTGTGTGAGTGTGTTATTATTATTTTATAATACAAGATACTTATAGTTTACCGGTTGTAAAGTTAGTATAATAAATAAAATACTTTAGTTATTATTATTAAGTATACAGTAATATAATACATTAAATAATATACAGTAAACTATAATATTTTTAGTTATAAATAAACTTTTAAGCATTTTTTTGTTTAGATAAATCGATAAGTATTATAAATGTTATTTTGTTTTTTATGAAAAAAATATGTACCTAGATATTTAGTAAATATTTTTATTATTTTTATTATTTTTTTTAAAAGGTCGTATGGGTTACGGCACTGATGCCCTATTTTGTATTATTCATCCTGCTCATTAGAGGGGTTACATTGGATGGATCGATGGACGGCATAAAATACTATCTGTACCCGTCATGGGATCGCCTATACGATATAAATGTAGTTATTTTAAAAATAATAATTATAAATTCAATAAATAATTAATTATACATAAAATAGCATAATATTTTTTAAAAATTAGTTTATTAATCATTAGTATTTTATTTTTAATAATAAATTTATTATTATTATTAATAACTAAGGTATGGATTGACGCTGCGATGCAAATATTTTTTTCATTGGGTCCCGGTTTTGGTACACTAATGGCACTGTCGTCGTACAATAAATTTCATAATAATTGTTATAGGTTAGTTTTTCAAATTTAATTTTTTTATTTAGTTTTTTTTAAAAATAAAATATATAAAATATAATTTCTTTTAATTAAATTTTTTCCACTCGTATTTTAATAATATTTTTTTAAATTTAAATATTAATTTATCAAATTGTTTTAATGGGGTCTAGAGATGCCATATTAACGTCAACTATAAACTGTTTGACCAGTTTTATGGCCGGTTTTGTCATATTTTCAGTATTGGGATATATGGCCAAAAAAATGGCCAAAGATATTAGCGAAGTGGCCGCTGGAGGTAATTATATATTTTTCAATTATATATATATATAAATACATTTTATTTTAATGGCAATTTTAAAAATTAGAAAAAAATATATTTATGTAACATTAATTTTTTTCATTAAAAATAATAAATGATAATAATAATAAGGAAACTGATTAAATACTATATTATTATAAATATTTTCTTATTATATTTAATTATTTGTGGAAAGTAACTGTAAAAAACACAAAATATTATTAAATATAATATAATAAATTAGATTATTAATAGTTAACTATAATTTATATATTTATTATTTCAAAATCTATAGTGTATTATTGTTTAGCAAACTTTAACTATTATTTTTGTTTAGTAATATTTATTTACTACACTTTTGTTTTAACTAATGTTAATTAATCACTGATGGGGGTACAGTTTTAGTAAAATAATTATTTATTAAATATATTTTTTTTGTCTACAGGTCCGGGACTGGTGTTTATTGTCTATCCCGAAGCCATTGCCGAAATGCACGGTTCGGTATTTTGGTCGATACTGTTTTTTGTTATGCTCATCACACTGGGCCTTGACAGTACCGTATGTGTCTATATATATATATATTTATTTTTTGTTGTCAACCAATTAATTAATTAACAGCATTATTATTAATATTAATTTTATAAAAATACTAATAATAATTAAAGTCTATAAAGTTATAAATAAATTAAAACTAACAAATAATAACTAAAATGCATTTTTTATTATTATATTTAATTAATAAACAAATAAAAAGTTTGGCGGTTTGGAGGCAATGATTACCGGTTTGTGCGACGAATTTCCAGCTCTATTGCGGCGAAATCGTGAAATATTTGTAGCATTTATTGTCATATTTATCTATTTATGTGCCATTCCTACCACTACTTATGTAATTAAATTGTTTGTTTTTTTTTTGAATGATAACTAATTATTTAATTAAATTAAATTATTAATAATAACAATAATAAATATTTTTTTTTAAAAATAATAATATATCTGACCAGGGTGGAAAATATGTGCTCGAATTGCTTGAAAATTATGGCATTTCATTGCCCCTATTGTTTGTAGTGTTTATCGAAACTATTGCCGTTTGTTGGTGTTATGGTAAGACTACTACTACTACTATAAGTTAATATTAATTTTAGTTATAATTTATTATAATTAAGACATTTATTTTCTTTTTAAAATAAATCATTAAAATAGGGAGCGAAAAGTTTTCCTGTCAAATAGAGGAAATGTTGGGCACAAAACCGGGAATATTTTGGCGCATCTGCTGGAAATTTATTAGTCCATTATTTTTAGGCGTAATAAATAAATATATATTTTTATTATTATTATTATTAAATTAATATATATTATCTCAAATAGCTTTCAATTAGTTTTTGTTAAAAATCCATCATTTAATTAATTTCTATTATTTGTTATTTTTTTCTATAAAAAATAGTTTATATTTTTTGCCGCACTATTCGAGTACAAGGATCTGGTAATCGGCTCCTATGTCTACCCAAACTGGTCTATACTGTTAGGCTGGACTATAACACTGTCGTCGATGACATGCATACCCTTATACGCTATCTATAAGTATCTATCGCTAAGCGGCCGACCTATTGAACGCTTTGTCAAGTCGTTTAAGCCCGAGTTGGACGTCAGCACCGGCAGCTATGGCGGCCGTCCGGGAGGAGCGGCGACCAGTGGTGCCGATACAGCACACGGCGTTCAACAACAACAAAACGAAATCAACAAATCCATCAAATCTATTATAAGTCATGTTTAAAAAAAACTTATCATAAATTATGAATGTATACTATACTGTACTGTAATATTGTGATTGTGTTTTATTCAAATGGTTTGTTTGTAACTAACTTTTAACAAATAATTAATGTAATTATTAAATATTAATATATATATATATATATATATATGATATGATATGATCTGATAAATGTGTATCAATTAGTGTGATTCAAAAATTATTTTATATTATCTAATATGTTGAATATTTTCAATAACAACAACAAAAATCATTTAATTATTTTAGTTAGTAATTTATTCAAGGTATTAATAAATTTATTTATTTAAGCATTATTTTTATTGTAAAATGTATTGTATTATATTGTGTATTATATTTTAAAGTTTTATACTGTAGTAAATTAAATGTAATTTATTAGTTAATTTAGACATTATGTGTTGATTATGCATCTGTATATTATTGCACTATTGTTATCATATACTCAAAAAATAACTTAATGATTATATTTAGATATATAAATGTATATTTAAAATATTATTAATGTTTGAAATATATCAAATTTAATTCAATATTATCACTCAATGTTAGTGAAAACTATTATAAATTATACCAAATACCAAATAATTAGTATAAATAATAATAATAGTATAAATATTAATAATAAATATTGTAATAATTGTTGTAACAATAAAATGTAATATTTGAAACGTTGTTAAATAATAATAATAACTATAATAAAATTTATTGTTAACTTAAATAATTAGATATAGAAATTCATTATATAAACTATTTAAATATGTTTTATATGATTTAAAATAATTTTTATTAATTTTTATTAGATGTTACATGATAAATTGTAATTATTATCCATTAGTTTATATAAATGTAAAAAATAGTATTTAAAATTATAATAAAAATACAGTTATAATTGTTTTTATTTGTTGAAATAATAATTTTTAATTTTAAAAATAGATTTTACATTTAATTTAAAATCAAGTTAATGGGTTAAATAATTTTAACCTAAATGTAACAAATGTTTAAATGTTATTTTTTCATAAAAATTATACATATGTTATAATAATTTATATTTTGTAATTGAACTAGAAAATCAGGTAAACTATAATACATATTTTACATAAATTAAACTACGTTAAATAACTAATTTGTTATTTATATATGTATATAAATTACTTATAAATCATTTTTTATTTTAAATTTAATATCAAAACAATTTGATTTAGTTTTACAAGTTATCTAATATTTTTTTGACAATTACCAGCAAATCATAAATATGATTAAATTAATTACATTATGTGTATTATTAATTGCTATGATTATTATTGATGTATCAAGTAAGTATTATCATAATATTTTATTTTAATTATAAAATAATCACATCTAATAACTACTTGAAAAATAATTACTAAACCAATTTATCTAAATCAATTAAATTTAAATCTAAATTAAGTTAAAAAAAAATAAATGACACGTTATTTATAACACTAAAAATATTATTTATTTATTTTAATTGATAAAATTAATAAAATTATTTATATATAAAAAAATAAAAAATTATAATTTTAACCAAGGTACGCCAATATTGCGTGAGGAGCACGAAACCTATAACGATATGTTCAAAACTCACCATGGTCACTATGGACATCATCATAAAGAGTCTCTCATACCTAACAATGCTGCCAAAGCCATACACCAGTGGTGGGATGTGGAAAGTATAGGAGGTCTCGATGACGACAAGTCCACTGATAATCAACAGTCGTTGTCATCAAACAATGACCAGACATTGCGGGCAAAGAGACGCAGGAAATACCATTCAATTGGCGGCCGATCTGATAATTATTAGACAATTTAATGGAAAAAAAATTGTTGTAATATTTTTTTAATTTTATTTTTTTATGTCTATTGTATGATTTTTTCTTTATAAATATTACTATTAAAATAATATTTAATAAATATTTGTTTAATAAATATAATATATATTATTATATGTAGTCAATAGTGAAAAAAATATTATTTCATTTATTTCAATTTTATACAATTAAATATCCATTACTTCTACAACAATGATAACATTTGAAATATTGTCGATAACAAGGGGGGGGGAATCTATGGACAATAGGTAAAAATGTGGAAAAAAATTTTGACGGCAATATTGATCAGGCCATACGCCAGGTGCTGCCCGTTATCATATTATACGATGAAAAAAAGTAGTTTACAGTATCATCGATAGTAATGTCAAATGTAAACTGGGTTACGGTGTGTCTGCACTTGTAATCAACTAACGATTCCCAATGATAATGACATGATTTAGATTTTTTTTTTAAATTATAAATATAATTATTACTATTTTATTAACAATGATATTATTATTATTATTATTATTTTCTATTAAGGTTTGCCAACAAATTGGTCGTGAGATGAGTGGACACACAAATTAAAATTAATTAAATTAAAAAATGTTTGAAAAAATATAATTGTATTTTTTATTAGACTAATTTATAATAACTTATAATTATATTATAAATTTGTGTGTAATATATCAAACTTTATGAATAAAAAATAACTTTATATGAATTATAAAAAAAATATATTCAAAGTTATCAAAATGAAAACAGTTTAACAAAATTACCGTAACTTTTGAAAAGTAATATTTATTTTATTATATAATATAATATTACTAATATATCTACATATATTTAATACCCCAACTATATTTTTTTAATAATTAATTTATTTCTAATTTAAATCATATTAAGTAGATCTAAATATAAATCATTTTCAATCTTAATGTTTTTTATAATTAACAAAATTATAATTAAATTTTTATATTTTATAATAATAGATTTATTAATAATTGTTAAAAAAAACTTAATTAAAGAAAATATAAATTTTTAAATATTAAAAACTATGTTGAAAAATAAATTGAAATACTTTAATATCATTTTATTTCTTAATAATACAATATAACTACTGTACTTTGTTTTTATAATTTTTTATTGTAATATTGATTTAGTGAATTAAAATCAGTTTTTAAAAAATATGATATTATGTTTATTTAAATATTTATAAAATAATAAATATATAATAATAAAAGTTTTATTTGTTTTGTTTTATTAAATGTTTTTAGAATATCATAGCAATACAAATCATATTAATAGTGCTAAATAATTGAAAAACTGCAAATTAATTTTAAAAATATTATAATAATATTTTATTATATTAAAAGATTAAAAGTTTAAAAATTAAAATATCAGTATAAATATACAGTATATATATATAGATAAATCTAGTTAATAGATCAGTAAAAATTTATTATTATTAACAAACAAACAAAAATTTAATTATCTATTTATTATTTATTTAATAATTCAAATAATAACTATTATTTATAGTTGTTATTGTTATTTAATTATATTAAAATCTATGGGGAAAAAATTGAAAATCTTGTTTCTAACACTTGACGGTGTGGGCCATATAAATGCGGCCATAGGTATGGCACAGATATTGATCGATGCGGGACACGAATGTTGGTTCGGTATCAAAAACCAGTGGACAGACTATATGGCACAGTATGTCAACATTAAAACATATGTATGGCCATTGTCTATGACAGATAATAACGACAGTAGTAATAGTAGTAGTAGTAGTGGTGTTGTTATTGTTGATAAGGTCGCCCAATGGTTTATGGATCAGGGTATTATTGGCGATCAATTGACACCAATAGAAAAAATTATAGTATTTGGAAAATGGATCCATTCAGGACAGGCCACCGATGGAAATGTATTTGATGTTGAGATTGACAAAGCTATACGTCGGGTGAAACCAGATATTATACTATGCGATTTATATACTACAATGGCAGCGGTAGTTAAATCTCAGATACCATGGGTTAAGGTGTCCAGTAGTAATCCACTAACAGTGCTCAATGATGATAGGACACCACCGGCAAACTTTGGTAAATATTTTTTTTTCAAAACTAATTTAATTATTATTATTATTAAGGTTTGCCAACAAATGGGTCTTACAATGAGTGGACGCAAATAAAAATCAAAATTGTTAGAGAAATAATTGGAAAATTTAAATTGTTTTTTCTAAAATTTATGTTAAATGAAATTCAAATATATGATAAGGTTGTATATCAAATATCAAACTATCTTAATATTTATGACTTTCCATTGGAATTGGATTATCAAGATATAAGACCACTGCCAGACAATTGGTATCGTTTTGATAACTTTATGAGACAACACATCAGTAGTGAACCGTTTGAATTGCCGGTACAATTGAGGGACAAACCGGGAAAAGTTATATACTTTTCATTGGGATCTATGGGTGCGATAGATGTTACTAATATGAAACGATTGATTGCTATATTAGTAAAGTCTCAAAACGTATTCATAGTATCAAAGGGACCGTTAGGTGATGAGTACGATCTACTGGACAATATGTGGGGTCAGCCAAGTGTACCGCAAACACAAGTCCTGCCATTAGTTGATTTGATTATAACTCACGGTGGAAACAATACTATTACTGAATGCTTTTACTTTGGAAAGCCTATGATAGTTATGCCACTGTTTGGCGAACAGTACGATAACGCACAGAGAGTCCATGAAAAAGGGTTTGGTATACGACTCGATGCCTACAAGTGCTCTGAAAATGAGTTATTGTTTGCCATCGAAACACTTTTAGCAAACAAATCATTGGCAGAAAAATTGCAAAAAATATCTCAAAGAATTCAAACAGAAAACAGTTTAACAAAATTACCGCAACTTTTGGAAAGTTTGGTCGAAAATAATCGTTTCAAACAAAATACTAAAACTGACTCCAGTTGTCAAATACTTTAATATCATTTGATATAATATTTATTAATAAACTAAAAATAATGTAAAACACATATTATTTTATTTCTTAATAATACAATATAACAATTTAGTTAATGCATAAATAAATTATTTTATAATATAATAATTTATTATAATTTGTTTAAGTTACTAAATAATTATATGCAATTTAATTTAATAAAAATAACCAAATTTATTAATTTTTATTTAATATATTTTATTTTAGTATAGTTTAAGTGTATTAAAATTCTTTTAATTTATATATAATTTATTATGAAATAGTATAATAAAATATATAAATGTTGTTTTTTCTATTTTCAATGATTAAATTGATTTTTTTTATTTAATTAAATGTATTTATTAGAAACTATTATAGCAAATAAAATCATTTAAAAAATGCTGAATAATATTAAAGATAAATGCAATTCAAGTTTTAAATAAAACAAAAATCACTAAGTATTGCACATTATAATTTAAGTTATATTAAATTATAACTTAAAATATTGTTGATATTATACATTTAGGAAAATTAATTTTTTACTTTAAATTTCTAGAAATTAATTTATTAAGTTAATATTTTTTTTGAAAATTTAATTATAATTATTTTTAGCGATTATAAAAATGAAAATCTTGTTTGTGCCACTGGAATCTACTGGCCATATAAACTCGGCCATAGGTCAGGCACAGGTACTGATCGGTGCCGGACACGAGTGTTGGATTGTCGTCAGTAACCGATGGCACGGGTCGGGCGAACTCGAGTCTAGCTATGGCTTGAAAATATATCAGTGGTTAATACCGCAAATCATCGGTAATGGTATGACTACCAATGATAATGATGATGATGATGATGATGGCAATGTCAAAAGCGATGCCCAATTGTTTATGGAGTTGGGTGTTATTGGTGGCCAATTGACTGCCAAAGAGAAACTGATAGTTATGGCAAATGTAATGATTAGTAGAAATAGTACGATAGGAAAGATTTACGACAACAATGTTGGCCGTGCCATATGTCAGATCAAACCAGATGTCATACTATGCGATCAGGTTAGACCATTGGCGTCGGTAGTAAAATCACAGATACCATGGGTGATGGTGAGCACTTGTAATCCACTAACAGTGCTCAATGATGATAAGACACCGCCGCCACTATTAGGTAATCACTTTTTGGCATTACTTACCTTAAAGGGCTTCGTTTTTTATATTGTTTTTATATTGTAATATAAAAGCATTAAACTTATTTGAGTTAGTTTAGGGGGTGTGTAGTGTAGAGTGTGGGAGGTTAGGAAGTGGTGGTGGGGTGGGTGGGGTTAGATAGTATACACTACGTAGTGTGTTAGGTAGTGCTAGTGTTGGAGTCCTATTATGATATATATTTTTAGGTTTATATATTTACCTAACACACTACTATCTAACCCCACCCGCCCCACCACTACTTCCTAACTTCCCACACCCTACACTACCCACTCCCTAAGCTAACCCAAGTTTAATGCTTTTAAATTACACTTTAAAAACAATATAAAAAACGAAGCCCTCTTAGGTAAGCGTTGCCCACTTTTTTACAATAGAAATACAATAATAATAATTATTATTTGATATTTATATAATCTATAGGTTTACCAACAAATGGTTCATTAGATGAGTGGAAACAAATTAAAATTGATATAATCAGAGAAATATTGGGAAATTTTAAATTGTTTTTTCTAAAATTTATGTTCAATGAAATACAAATATTTGATAAGTTTTTATATAATATATCAAACTATCTTAATATTTATGACTTTCCATTGGAATTGGATTATCAAGATATAAGACCACTGCCAGACAATTGGTATCGTTTTGATAACTTTATGAGACAACACATCAGTAGTGAACCGTTTGAATTGCCGATACAATTGAGGGACAAACCGGGAAAAGTTATATACTTTTCATTGGGATCTATGGGTGCGATAGATGTTAATAATATGAAACGATTGATTGCTATATTAGAAAAGTCTCCAAACGTATTCATAGTATCAAAGGGACCGTTAGGTGATGAGTACGATCTGCCGGACAATATGTGGGGTCAGCCAAGTGTACCGCAAACACAAGTCCTGCCATTAGTTGATTTGGTTATAACTCACGGCGGAAACAATACTATTACAGAATGCTTTTACTTTGGAAAGCCTATGATAGTTATGCCACTGTTTGTCGATCAGTACGATAACGCACAGAGAGTCGATGAAAAAGGATTTGGTATACGACTCGATGCCTACAAGTGCTCTGAAAATGAGTTATTGTTTGCCATCGAAACACTTTTAGCAAACAAATCATTGGCAGAAAAATTGCAAAAAATATCTCAAAGAATTCAAACAGAAAACAGTTTAACAAAATTACCGCAACTTTTGGAAAGTTTGGTCGAAAATAATCTTTTCAAACAAAATACTAAAACTGACTCCAGTTGTCAAATACTTTAATATAAAAAAAAACAATATTGTATTTTCAATCTTTTTTAATATAAATACAATAATAGTTTTATTAATATTATATTTTTAAAGTTATTTACACTTTATTTTTATTATTAATTATAATTCACAATTTTTTATTAGTATATATTTAATTTATTATTAATATACAGTATATTAATTTTAATAGATTTGTTTATTTTGTTAATTTTGCTGTTTTATAAACCAAACTTAATAAAAATAAAATGTATTTTTTTATATTTTTCGTTACTAATTTATTGTATATATTAGTTAATAGTTAAAAATTTTACTTTAATATTATTGATTTTATTTACAAAATTTGAATTTTAGATAACTTACATTAATATTTAATATTATTTTTGAAAAATATATATTAGTGAGAAACAAAATTGCTGATAACTTAATTATTCAATAATTAGATATTTATTATTAATTTAAAATTTAAATAACTTTAAATTAGCAAGGTCATTAATTAATTAGTTTATTTTTTTAGTTCAAAATTTTTAGTTTATTTATCTAATAGTATTAATAACATCTTATATTAATAAATGAATATTATATGAACTAATGTTTGACAATGTTTTCCTGGTTTCCAAATAAATTAATAAAAATATTTTTATTAGTAATATTTTTTTAGTCCTTCAAAATTAATTAATCTATTGTATAATAATAACATTAGTTTAATTTAATCTATTATGTTTATACTGTACATAGATATCAATTAAGTTTTTCAAAAAAAAAAACTTAACAAAACAACAACAAAAATAATAATAAGAAATATTATTATTAGCAAAAGTATTATTATTATTAAAACAATAATTTATTTTACAGACAATTATATTTCATATTATTTAAAAAGATAAATATTATATAACATTATAATTTAATTAACAAATATTTGATTAATTTATTTATATTGTTTTAATTAATTAATATAATAATAATAATAAAGATATTTGTTTAAAATTAATAAAAGCTACAAAAAATATTTTTGCTAATTTAAAAAAGTCAATGTCAATTTATTAAAATATTAAAAATTATACTATTATTAAAAATGTTCACAAAGTTTATCATGATAATTTTAATTTTATATTATTTTAATTATACGCCGCCATATGTTTATTGTCAGCCATGGATGAATCAAATAAGCACTGGTCGTAGCACTGGTAGCTTAGAAAATAATAATCATAATAATAATAATAATGTTCAAGTGATTACCAAAGACAAGATTATTGAAAACTATTGGACAGGTATTAAATCGGTAACGGGATCTACAAAATGCGGTTACAACATAAGTACACTAATAGATGATTGTACCAGAAATATGCTATACGATTGGTTAGGCGCCGGCAGTCAATTGGATGGAGAAACTGAATCAGTGATAGAGTATGACGACGAGCACCGGGATCTTTGCTGTGCCATATGGGACTCTATCGACTGTCTCGTCCGTGAGGTCCAGCACTGTTGTGTTACCGATCGGGACATTATGTTGCAAATAGTTAACGGCGTTCAACGTAATGTCGAACAGGGCTACTGTTGCTACTATAGACGCGGCACCGGGAGCTGCCGGTTCCCTGTTTGGGCCATTATTATCATTGTATTGAGTGGTCTAACATTGATAACTGCTTTAACATTTTTACTGTTTAATATTGTTTATCGTAAATATAAACCAAATAATGTTAATAATAATAAAAAGTAAATATATATATATATATATACAGTATAATAATTTTAGTTTTTTAATTAATCAAATAATTACAATAATGTATTATTGAATATAAAGTAATAATACAATAATGTAGTTAATAATAGATATCTACTTTTAATATTGACTTCAGTGTAATACACTTGTAAAACAATTTATTTTTATTTTAATCTTAAACTATTAGAATATTTAAATATTATTATGAAAATATTTACAATGTACATTTAATTAATTAGTTTTTTTATAGTTTTTTTTAATAATATTGTAGTAATTGTTTTAATTAAAATTTAAATATTACACATATGTATGTTCAGATTTTTTTTAATTAAATAAAGTTATTTTTATAAAATTTATTAATTATATTTAAACATTTAACAATTAGTATATATATATAGTATATTTAAAAGTATATATATATATATATAAATTGTTTAAAAATGATAACTTTTTATTACTTTTCAGTTTTTTTTATTGTTTTTGTTAAATCTATTTTTTAAAACTAATAATTGCTATCAAATAATGTTAGTACTATTAATATTAGTAAAGTTTCAAATTAAATACCTCATAGATTGTAATAATATATACTACACCTTGATCAAATATTAAATGGCTACAAATTTTGCATCAAATAAAAAAATCTTGAACAAAATACTTTATCTACCCAAGATACATTATAAAATTAACAAAAATTATTATAAATAAACTAGCATATTAAAACAAATAAAACGTTATTTTTGTTAAATTTTTATAAATGTTTCATTAATATTAATAGCAGAGAGAGAGAGAGAGAGAGAGAGAGAGAGAGAGAGAGAGAGAGAGAGAGAGAGAGAGAGAGAGAGAGAGAGAGAGAGAGAGAGAGAGAGAGAGAGAGAGAGAGAGAGAGAGAGAGAGAGAGAGAGAGAGAGAGAGAGAGAGAGAGAGAGAGAGAGAGAGAGAGAGAGAGAGAGAGAGAGAGAGAGAGAGAGAGAGAGAGAGAGAGAGAGAGAGAGAGAGAGAGAGAGAGAGAGAGAGAGAGAGAGAGAGAGAGAGAGAGAGAGAGAGAGAGAGAGAGAGAGAGAGAGAGAGAGAGAGAGAGAGAGAGAGAGAGAGAGAGAKAGAGAGAGATAGAGAGAGATAGAGAGAGATAGAGAGAGAGAGAGAGAGAGAGAGAGAGAGAGAGAGAGTAATGTTTTAATTTCTAGAGAAATGTGAAATAAGATTAATTAAATTATTACGATATTATTTAATATGATTTATTAATTAATTATTATTATTACTATTACTATTATCACACACACATATACATATATGTTATACATGTATATATGATATATACTGTATATAAATTATACATTATATTATGGTATTAACTTTTAATATTGACTATAAAATTTTAAAAAATATTGTAATAATTATTTCAACAAACATACAAACAAACAAAAAATAATTATTGACATCAAATATATTAAAATCACTTTTACTTTTTTTAAACAAAAATTTAATGACATTTTTTTTAATACTTTATGTATCATATTATTATTATTTATAATACAGTGTCTTTATATATATATATATTAAAATAAACTTATATCTAGGTACTAATAAAAAAATGTGTCCAGTGTCAAATTAGATTACATATTTTGAATATATTTTTAAAAAAAAATTATATAACTAACTAATAAATACAGTATGTAGAATATAATAAAAATATATAGCGGGTGTATACTGTATACTAACAAAATAAAAAGCTATACTGTACTGTGTGTATAGTGTATGTGGGAAATACTGGTGTAAACTATACAATACAATAGCAATGTCAATGTGTGTATTAAAAGTACAGTATATATAATACAAGTAAATATATACACAAAACACATAAATCAATGAACCATTGGATTTGTATAATAGAGAAATACAGTACATTATAATGATATAAACGTTTTTGATTTGACAATTAATATTAAAATTTAATTAATTATAATAATTAATTAATAAATAATTATTAGTTCAAAATATCCTATTAGTTAATAATGATAATTAATAACTAGTAAAAAATATATCAATCAATGAGTAATAATAATAATAATATTTATTTAATTTATTAAATAATATATAATTAATTAAATTATGATTTTTAATAGTTATTTACCGATAATTATGTTGAATACTAATCGTAATGATTGCCAATTGATTGTGAAAACACTGTAATTATTATTATTACTATTATTTAAGTAATAATAATAATAACAACAAAATGTGTGACAAATCAAGCGATGAAAGTGAAGACAATAACAATGACAACAACAAGAAATCATCGGATGATAGTCATCGACGACCAGCGATAGCGACCGCCGACGATGATAACAGACATACGGAGGAAGACGACGACGACGACGATGAAGAAGTGGTCACCGATGACGAGGAAACGTCCGATGATGAAGAAGAAGACGGCGACGACACGACAGATGTCGATATCGAGGACAATGGCGGCGACGCTGCCGACGAAGAGGCCGGCAGTGGTGCCAGTGATGATGACACTGATGATGACGAAGACTCTGATGACTACGAGACTGATATCGACGACAATGATAGGCAAGTGCTTCGCGAAGTATCGGTCAACTCTGCAGTCGTCGCCGACAACGACTACACTGCAAACGGTGACAACACTGACGACTATTCGCAGCCGACGTGCTATATATGTCTGAACGAATTTGTCGGCCAAGACATCGGTAGTCCCGATTCGTGTCCAGATTTGCATTACTTTTGTCTCGAGTGTATCGAAGAGTGGAGTAAAGTATGTAATATATTAATAATCATACCGTACATACCGGTGCCGCCTTAAAAAAAACATACCGATGTTTTTTATTAATGACTTTTATTTTTTTACAGCAAATCAACACCTGTCCAGTGGATCGCAAATTGTTTACCATAATATGGGTGCGCCGTGAGATTGCCGGAACCGTTATCATGAAGGTATTGCCTGCTGTCGTGTATTTCTATCCCAACTTTCTATGTGTTAACTTAATGGATGATATGGATGATGATGAGACAATTGCGCATAAAGAGTCCAATAATGGACTGTGACATCTTAATGGGATAAGTGATATCTCTCGGATCCCTTTCCTCCCTATCCTTTTACCCTTACACTCCTAAAAACCGAGAAACATTGCTTGTCCTATTAAATAGTTTTCAATCTGATCCACAAACCAAACTAATTGATTACTATTATTTTAATTACAAAAGATACTAATTTTGTTTTTTATTTTTAATTTATTTGATATAATAGTTGCCAATCGTCCAGAACGTTGTTCCTGACGCCGATGCCGTACCCGACGACGTAACCTATTGCGAGATCTGTGGCCGCTGTGATCGAGAAGATCGGCTATTGTTATGCGACGGCTGCGACTTTGGCTTTCATTGCGAATGTCTGACACCGCCGCTGGAGACCATACCCATTGAAGAATGGTTTTGTCCCGATTGTTTCGAACGATTGTTTGGTGCCGATAGTATCAATCCGTTGGCCAGTGCCAGGCATCATCATCGGCGAGCAATTGCACGTACCGGAGCTTCGGAGGTCGTCCGGCAGCGAATACTGGAGCGCCGACAGCCATCAACGGCTACTATTGGTGCCGCCACTACCACCACTGCGAGAGCTGCCGCACAGCGCCGAACGAGGACAGCAACCGCAACAACAGGTACTACTATTAAGCGGCGACGAAAGCGACGGACAACCAAACGAAAGCGTAAGACAACGACTAGACGGCGCCGTAAAACAACAACAACAGCCGGAAAAAAGTCGACGACTACTGGACGGCGTCGAAAACGGCGTACAACTAAACGTAAGACACGACGAAAGGGAACCAAAAAGCGTAGGACAAGAAAGTCTGCGTTCGCTTCGCGACGATTGCCAGCACCGATAGCCGACGCTCGGACACGTATAGCATCTAAATTAGGTATAATTTTTTTTTAGTTATTATTAGACTTGAAATGAATTTGTCTATTATTTATTAAGGTATCGGACCACCTCCTAAATCGCCATTTGGTTTGCCATCGATGAAGAATGTCGGCTACGGATCGAGCCGTCGGTTGACTGAATTGCGTTCAGCTGCCGGCATCACTCAACTATCGATGTTCGGCGGAGAATTGGACGTCTATGATCCTCGCGTGCAGATCAACAACGCCGACGACGACAATATTGATCTGCTAAATGGCGACGGAGTCGGTCTTATTGCTCGAAGTCGTATTAGTAGCCATCGACTACTGGCCAGTCCTGTCAAATGTAAAACTCAGCTCAACATTGACAACAATAATTTGGTCGCAAATACTGGAAGCCAATCGATAGACCTGTTGGCGTCCATAATGGACTCGCAGGCAATGTTGCACACGTCGTCACGCGATATTCGTATCTCACGCGACGGTTCACTGCATATCAATAGGCAAAACAACAATTTGTCTCCCGGTTCCTCTTCACCGCCAACTGTACGCTCCTGTGCAAACAGTAGTGGACAGTCGTCTCCAGCTCGTAATAGTCCGACTAGCAATGAGCCCAACAACAACTCAACATCATCACCGTCACACTCGCCCGCTGGAAGCTCACCGAACAGGATTGACTCGTCCAGCGCTGGTAGTAGTGGTGTTGGTGGCGTCGGTAGTGGTAATACATACAACTATTCATTTGGCGGCAGTGTCGGCAATGCCGCCTCATATCTTGATGGAGCCAATGGCGAAGAGTATGCCGATGAAGATATTAGCTCTATTAAGCCGATACCCGTCAAACGGTCACAGACTGAAGGAGGAGTAGTAGGAGGCGGCGCCGGCGGGACAGCAACCGATACAGATGGCGATGAAGACTCAAAGCTGGAGCTCTATAGTGATATTGAATCTATTGGTGGTGATAATAAAGATCAGATTAATCGCGATGATGTGATGATGATTGGTAACAGTGATGATGACAATGATGATGAAGAGCTTGTTATCGATGACGATAACAACAATGATCAACAAAAGTCTAATCAATTATCAACAACAACGGGCAATACGGGTGGTTCAGGTGATAATAGTGATGGTATGTATTATATTGACGAGACGATCCAATAAATATTGTTGTTATCAAAAATTACCGCTAATTATAAATTCTTTTTTTTTATAGCAAATACAGTTCAAAATAGCAGTACCGGTACTACTGATACTGGTAGTGGTGATGGTAACGGTAGTTCAACTTCTACTACTACTAAACTACCGATCGACTCATCGCCTTTCAAGTTACCGCAATCGATAACCACATCATCGACCAGTATATCGGGAACTACGACAACAGCAACAATAGGTGTTAATAAAACTTCTTTAGCAACAAAATTGAACAAAAAACTTGTCCTGAAATCTGGTGGCAAACGTCGGCCATCTATTAAGGATCTGTTTGGCGACTCGGATGATGATGACGATGAAGATGAAGCAGACATTCGTCGACTGTTGGCCGATGGCCACGGTAGCATTAATGTTCATTATCCCATCAAAATACCCATTGTCTTCAAAAACAGTGTTCCACGAACTACAACGGTGGCTGCCGCCGATGGCAATAGTAAATTAGTGGACAGAACTAATAGTAGTAGTAGTAGTAGTGTTGGTGATAGTGGTAATAGTGATAATAATAATAAAATAATTACTTCGGCGCCAGTGATGGTGTCTGAAACAGTGGACATTAGTGCAGCACCCGATCTGAACAAATGGGTTGTAGTGAATCCTGTCGACAGTACCGATGTTATCGGCGATTCTACCAAAAGTGTCAACAAATGGAAACCTATTGATGAAGTGATAACCAATTGTAAGCAGCCGTCATCTATCACTACTGCTGCTGCTGATGATGGACCACTTACCAGTGTTGACTCTCCTATTAGTGCTACAGATGACAACGATAAAGAGGATGACATACTTAATAATAATAATAATAGTAAAGCTAATGATGATAATGTTGATAAGTCTTCATCATTGGACATCGATGATGACGTCGGTGTTAGTGATGATAACAATAAGTGTTGTTTAACTGTTGTCGATGATAACAAATCTACTGAACCAATTGACGACAATCTGTCTATCGCTAGTCCTACTGGTGATACTCTGTTAACAACACAACAGCAGCTGCCGATCACAAGTGCCGTGGATGAAGAGGAAGGCGAGATCAAAGAAGAGAGTAATGCTGGTGATACTGACTGTCAAATCAAAGAGAAAGTCAAATACTGTAGACACGGACGACCCAAGAAAGAGAGACATCACAGTCATAGAAGCGGTGACAACAATAACAACAACCGTAGTAATAGTAAAGATAGACTGGATGATGGACATAGGCATAGGTCGCGTAGCACAAGTGAACCTAAGTCTAAACATCATCGGGACAGGGATGGTGTTGTCGTCACAGTCGTCAAAGATAATATTGACACTGATTTGGGTAATAATAATAATAATAATGATAATAATAATAGTGTAATTGATGTTAATGTTAATAATAATGATGTGGATGTGGATGATGTTGTGATTTTGAGTGCTAGTGATAGTAGTGCACTTGATTGTGGTAGCACCGGTAGGTTATTTTTTTTAATCATATATATCTACCTTTTATGCACAGTTTTAATACATGTATATTTACTCAGAAAAATATATTTGATAAGCAATTGTTTTTTTATAAACATTTAATTGTATTTTTTACTTTTTAATAGTTGAATTCAAAGAGAAAACATACGAACCGAAAGCCGCGGCCACTGACAACTTGGTTGAGGCTAACGGTGAGAATGCGGAACAATCGGCGGTCAGTTGGAAACGGTTATCGTCGACAACCAAAATGAGAAGCTATAGAGATGGCAAACCAAAGCCCAGGGATGTAGTCTATGGAGAACGGGAAGTGTCAAAAAAGTTGGTTAGAAAGTCAACGAAAAGCGAGTCTTCAAAGGGCGGCAATAATAGGTTGTCTTCGTCGGCCAAAGAGTCGTCATCGAATAGTCGACAGCTGGACGACAAGCATCGACTTAAAGACCAGAATCGTGAGCTTAATGTCGGTGATGGCAAAGTCCATCATCATTGCCATAAACATCGGCCACCGATACAACAACAAGGAGGAGGTGGTGATGACAGTCACGGCGGTGGCGGAGGAAGCAGCCGTAGTAAACGTAAAGCCGACGACCATCAGCTTAGCGGCGGCGGTGAGTTGTCCGGCAATTCGCGTAGTAAACGACAGAAAAGTTCGCGAAGTCCGCATCGACACGAAGACTATGACAAAGACAGCCGACACCACAAAAGTCATAAGCATCACAAGTCTAGCCGTCATAAGCACAGTGGCGGTCCTGACGGCCAAAAGGACAGTCTATCGTCATCAACAACACGACACTCTTTATCGTACAGATCGTCCGCCGCATCGAAGCATTCACATCATTCCGCCGCCGGCGGAAGCAAAAGTAAGCCAAGCGCCAGTACGACGTCGTCAACTGTGGCGCCAGATGTTGCCTCCGGCAGTGGTGACTACTATCAGCATACGATAGCCAACAGCAGCACCGGTAACAGCGCCGGCACCAGTAAATTGTTGCAGCGATCGGTCAATCATTTGCAATATACCGACGAAATTACACCGTTAGACTCGAAAGAGATTTACGCCGAAGGTATGACCACATCGAACAAAAAACTACTGGTGTTTAAGTCTACTTAAATGTGTTTTTTTCATGAGGAGGAATGTTATGTAATAATTGCTACATAAGCGCACACACCGTATATATTATAATGTTGTTTTTGTATAGTCAAAGAGTTTAGTTATATTAAAATGTATTATAAATTTTCAAATAGTAGTTCACATAATACGTTACACTTGTAGTCCCCCACCCATCGCTATTATATTACTTTTTTTTTATAAATATTTAAATAATTATGTAATTATCTTTAATAACAAAAAATAACTTGAGTAATATTTTTAAATGAGTAATTTATCAAGGATAATTTACATATTTTTCTCATTATATCACGTGTTTCTCTCTCTCAACACATAATTAATAATTAAATAATAATTATTTGTTTTATTAACTTTATTTAGGCGATCGTATAGTAATTAACGTTAACTTCAAACGAGACACTACCGCCGGATCGACCGCATCGGCTGCTAAACATAACGATAGTAGCGAACCATCGACGGTAACGGCGGCCACTAACAGTCGGCAACGTCGACCACCCGTATTGTCTTCATCGCCATCTCAGTCGCCCACAACTCATCATAATAAGTCATCGTCGGAAGCAATCGGAACCAAACGTAGTTCCTCTAAAAAAGACGACTCATTATTCTGGGCGTCGCCGCCGCCACCACTGACGTCTCAATCATCGTCGAGCATATCGTCGACACAAATAACCGCTAATACTGCTACAGCCATCACCACCACAACCGCCTCCGGCAGCGGCAGTAGCGGAGACCGAGTAGTTGATGCCGACCACAAATCGGACGGTAAACACAACAACGACGAGATTCGCTTTTTGCCCCGAACTTTGCACCAATCGGACACCGCTGCTAATGACGGACCATTGCGTCCTTCATCGTACGGACCGCATACACCACCCGAAAGCGACTACTGCGAAGATCAATTTATGCCGACGCCCACCCAGGACGAGTCACGTTCGCCAATGATATCGCCGAGTACGACCTCACGATCATCGCCCATCAGTGGCCAATCGTCGCCCCGTTTGTCGTTGTCCAGTCCAAATAGTAAAAATGACGACGATGTCTACGATCCGGAGGCACCACTCCAGAGTCCCGTAGATCCTGACTCTAAGACCAGTTCTGCGACTCGCAAACGAACCACTGGACGATCTGTACGATCGTATCCGAAAAGTCCGTCACCCGAACCGCAGCGATCTCGTGATCGGGAGATACGAAGGCCACCGACAACTCCACCGACTAACGACTCAGTCAAGTCGTCGTCTTCTAAGTATTCGCCACCAAAAGACAAGACAAAGTCATCGCCGGCCAACTCATCACTTCATTCGCCATTCAAATCGCCCTCAGTTTTGCCGCAACGACAGGTAAGACATTGTTTTATTTTTTTTTGAGAGGACTAACTCTGTTTTAAAAACTTATAGCCACCGAAACAGTCGCCACAAAAATCAGGAACCAATTCTTCCTCATCGCAACTGATGCCACCGCCTCCTCCAGTGTCCAGTTCACGATCGACTGGCGGTCAATTGGCATCGGCGGCCACTTTTGCCGCTGCTATACGCAGTATAACACCTCAAAATTTAGTTCAACTCTTACAAGTGGCCCAATCGTTGACAAAAAAGTCATTGCCATTGAACACCGGTAGCACCAACAGTGGTGGTGGTGGTGGTCAATCACATCGGCAATCATCATCATTATCGTCCAAACATCACGGGTCGTCGAGTTCCGGGACCAGTGGCAACAACAACAGCAGTAGTTCTCAATCAAATTCACATTCAAATCAAAACAACAACAGCTCCACCAGTCATAACCGCGATCACAATGAAGTGGTCGACATGGATGTGGACAGTCCATCGCCGCCGCAATCATCGACAACTACACTCCAAGGAGGTCAGCCATCGCAACAGCCACGCGTATCGTCGACAACTGGGACCACAACTACAGCCCAAGTGAAGACACTATGGGATCAGTTGATGAAATCGACAACAGTATCGTCGAAACAACAGCCGTCTACAGGAGGACAGTCGTCATTGCAGAAGCGTATAAACGATTTGACGTCCGGACATATTGGCGGCGGTAGTCAACAGAGATCAACGAGCGGTGGTGGGGGCGGCGGAGGACAAGCCATACAGCTATCTGGTGGTGGCAACAAACAACACGGCAATCATCATAGACATCAAGTGGTCAATGTAACAGCCAATGATGCCACCAAAAAACAGACGACCAGTGGATCCAAGTTGGATCAGTTGACTGTTTTGGATGACGTACCGTCCAGTGCTGTCGAGATGGCTGTCAAGGAAAAGGTATTTAAATGAAAAACAAAGAATTCAATTATTTTTTTAATGATTTACTAATTGTTTTTATTAATTTTTAAATTTTGTTGTTTATTTTAGTTTATCAAAAAACTGAATCGTCAGGAACGGGTCATCGAAGAGGTCAAACTGGTACTCAAACCGCATTACCAGAAACGGTCTATCGATAAGGATCAGTACAAAGAGATATTAAGGAAATCGGTACCGAAGGTGAGTGTCTGTCCCATTCATTGGACTACAGATAACCCAAATTGTGTTATATTTTTTGTTATGTATTATTATTTACATACCTGTTCTCTAATTTCTGTATCACTTAATTATTATTATTATCATAACAGATATGTCACAGTCGTTCGGGTGAAATAAATCCCATAAAAATCAAGTCACTGATCGAGGGTTATGTCAAACGATACAAATATTTAAGGAAAAAATCTACAAAATTGTCGACAACTAAGAAGTAATATTAATAATAGTAATAGTATTAGTTGTCTATTGTTTTTGTTTTTATTATTATTTTTATTTTTATTAATAATTATGGTCTATATTAATATAATTTTTATTATTATTAAGTTAGTAGTCTTTTTTTAGTAAATTATTTGAAACAATTTTTTTTGTGTATTTGTTTAATGATTATTATTATTATTATTTTTTAAAATAAATAATTATTACTACCATTTTTTAAAGACAACATTTAAATTAAAATCTTGTAAATTATTATAATTATTAAAATCATGTTATGTTTATCCATTAATCTATACTATACATTGTACTGTATCTATCTATATCTATCTATCATTTATGTATTTTATTAAATTAAACAATAATAATAAACTATTTGTATCATAATATTTAATAAAAGCGACAACAAATTATTAAAAAAATTTCTAATTTAAATAAAACTATTTAAACAGTTAAACAATTGAGTATATATTTTAATTTTTATATTTATACCATATAATATAAGTTTTATACAAATACAGTATTAACTGTTATATAGTATTTTGAATATATTGATAAAATATTTATAATTTTAAATATATATGATTGACACGTTTTACTAATTACATTGATTGATACTAAAATAAACTTATCCACAAAAAATAGACAATTATTGATATAAATATCATATTTTTCACAAATAATATTTATTTTTTTTAATTTATTAAATATATTAAATTATTATTAGTAAAAAATCTTCAATTTTCCAATAAAATGGTATTTCATTTGAAAAACTTTCGTATAATTATTAGTTTAAATATCATTATATTATTGTTAGTTATACTAAATATCTATGAAACCAATGGCCAGACAGCAACAACAGCAACAACAGCAACAACTATAGCCGTCACTAAATCAAACAAAACAATTTGTATACAACATAACGGTGCTGTAGGCGAGTGCCGGCACCCGAGAGATTGTATACGACAGCAGTCCAATTCGTCGATGTGGACACCGTGTCGTCATCGTCATCGGTGGCCGCCATCAGCTGAAGAACGATCACTAAACTCGATGATGTGCTGTTCGTCGGACACGGATTTTCAGGCCGAACTGTTGACAGAGATAGACACCGATAGACAAGTGTTAGTAACGGACAATAGTACCGCTGATAGTGTTGTTGTTGTCGTCGACAATAGGGATATCCATCATATATTTGACGACAATATGGACGACGTCGACAACCAGAACCCGCAATGCGGTGTTTCCCGATTTGTGGCCAAAATGTTGGCCATAAATATGACTGCCGCCGCCTCCAGACGACGATCCAATATCGAGCGCAGTGTTATGAATCTACTCTATCCGATGGCCTATCGTATAGTCATGGGCTATGACGTCCATCCGGGACAGTCACCCTGGATGACGACACTCTACTATTATGATTATTTTGTTTGCGGCGCCGCAATCATTGACCACTGGCACGTCGTGACGGCGGCCCATTGTTTTGACCGCAGTCGGTAATTATCTTTTAACTTAAAAATTTATAATATCCACAAATTTAATAAATTATAAATAAATTATAAATTATAGTTTAAATAAATTATAATTATTTTTTGATTTATTATTTTTGAACTTAAATAATCATGCAGACTTTTCTAATTTTATATAAATTATTTATTTAAAATATTATTAATTAGTTAGATTTTATTATTTTATAATAAATATCATAGTATTGGTTATTATTAAAAATAAAATCAAATATTTTTTTATTTACAATATTATTACAATTTAATTAATTAAAAATTTTAATGAAATCATATTATTTTTTTCAGTCGATCTTACAATTATTACATAAGAGTCGGTTCCGTAAAGATATTCAACGGTACTCTATATACTATCAGTGCTATCCATCGACACCATCGGTACAGCCGTTACCGTATATATCACGACATTGCTATCATACGATTGTCACAGCCTATTGTATTCACTAGCGAAGTGGGACCGATATGTTTGCCACTCATTGAGTGGCTCAATAGGACACAGTTGATCGGCGAGAGTGTCTATGTGGCCGGTTATGGCGACACGGCATACGAAGGCCAGCCATCATCACTGTTACAAGAGGTCGATCTACTGGTGCTCGACAACGAACATTGCGAATACAACTATATGACACTAAGGGAAAGTCGGGTTCGGTTTCCAGTGGGTATTAAACGGTCGCTTATGTGTGCCGGCTATGAACAGGGAGGCAAAGATGCCTGTCAGGTATGGTTTGAATGTTGTTATATTAATTTTTGTTATCAATATTAATATAATGTTATTTCTATTTGCAAAGCACAGGGCGATTCTGGCGGTCCGCTAACCTATCAATACAATTTCCAAAACTATTTATTAGGTATTGTATCATTTGGCTACCAGTGCGGTCTAGCCGACTATCCCGGTGTCTATACCTATGTTCCCTATTATTTAGATTGGATATACAGTATAATCACCAATTAATTTGAAATTAAATTAGATTATAATTTAATTTATAATTATATTATTTTCTTAAATAAGTAATTCTTAAATATATATATAATTATGTAATTTTTATAATTGATTAATTAAAATATGATAGTATTTAACAAATGAATTATTTTAATAATGCTTTTATTTATTTAATAATTTTTCAATAATAATTATTGTATTAATATATTTAAATTACAGTAAAAAAATGCTGATAACATTGTAAAACTAAAAACATTGATTTTATTCAAATTAGTTATATTTAATTATTTGATTATTGTATAAATATTATTATTAATATTACATTTTCATATATTAAAATCTTGTTTATCAATAACGACTACTATTTAGGTTTATTTAAAGGTTACATAAAATAAAAGGTTTCCCAAAAATTTTATACAATATTAAATGACTTACTTATTAGACTATTGGAAAAATACCTGTCTGTCCTTATCATTGAATTGTTGAATATATTTAATTTATTAATTTATTTTAAAAAATGTTTTAAAAATATTACTAAACTATATCACTATTTAGTAATCATGGTTTACATATAATTATTATATTAATATTTATGATTAAAATATATATAAATAAATTGTTTGAATTATTTAATTTGAATTTTTACTTTGAAGACTAATTAATGCACATTTCATTAGTGTTTTTTTGTAACATTAATAATTTGATTGATATAAAATTTGTATAAATTACAATTTTTGATGTATATTTTATGAAATATATTTTAACTTTTAAAAAGTTATACTCTATTATTAATAATTAATGTGTTAATGTGTATGTGTTTAAAATAAATTAAATATTTATAAATTTGAAAATTGTAAGTATTTGTTAATTGGATGAGTTTTTTTTAATAAAAAAAATGGTTTATGATTTATATTATTTATGGTTAATGAAAATTAAAATAAATTTAAAATACAAGTCCTTACGGGACAGCCTTTTTTAAAAACTTAAATAAATCTATTTATTTGCGAAATTAAAACTTTCTAATTATTTTATTTTTTGGTTTATATATAAATATGAAACCAATTTTTTAGTTAGTTATTATAGTATTTAGAGATATCAGTGAAATATCATAATAACATAATAAATATTACAAAAAAAAAGTTTTATTAGATTTTTTAATATAAAAAGTTAATAAAATAAAAAACTTACTTAAAATATGCCTACAAAACTAACAGTCCTGTTTGCACCGGCTTATGGATTGAGTCGACTAAATGCAAGTATTGCTTTGGCTGAGGAACTGATAGCCAGAGGACATCGGGCAGTATTTGCTATCGATCAGGCCTACAGAGGACAGGTAGTCAAACGTGGTATACAAGAGTTGCTACACTCTCTACCCGAGCAAGTGGACAGAGACGCCAAAGACGCCGACGATTGGCATCAATATGTGGCCAATAATGCCGGTGCACTCAAAGGCGACTCACTAGAGATTGCCGGCGGTTATTGTGTACAACAGTTTGATAGACAGTTGGCTGAATGTCGAGCACTTGATGAACACTACCGGAGCGTTGTTGATATCATACGACCCGATGTTATAGTTGTAAACAGTTATGTATGCGCGCCGGCATTGGTCGGCTCAGGTATTCCATGGGTTAACCTAATATCGTGTACACCGTTGTTGGCACTTAACGATCAAACACTTCCGCCACCTTTTTCAGGTATGTGTGAGAAAAAGAGAGACTACTGTTCCCTAAATAAAACAAAAAGTTTACTTTAATTGAAATAATAAGTAAACTTATATTTTGTTTGTATATAAAAATTCGTCAAAACTTTATTATATTTATCAATTGATAGTTTAAAATGTTATTTATTTTATAAATAATTTTTTTTAATTATTTCTCAACAACTAAAAATTAATTACTAATTATTTATATTTATATCGTATTTAATTTTTTTTTAAAACTAATTATATATTTTTAAATAACAAACATTTTATTTATTTCGTAAATTTAATTGTTTCAAAACTAAAAATAATCATTTATTATATAATTAATACTATATTTTGTGTGTATGTGTGTGTGTGACTAGGATTGCCATTTAAGGCTAGTATCGATGATTGGCATCGATATCGGCATCAATTTGACGACAAATTTGCTGGCATTCAACAAACTATCAACGAATGGTATTCAGCTGCCGGTGTTGGAGCACAGTTAGCCGATAGACAACTTGTACTACAATCGCCCCATTTGAACATCTATGTCTATCCCAAAGTGTTGGACTATTATTCAGGAAATACACTGTTGGCCAACAATTGGCTGCGTGTGGACAGTCTGGTTGCCAGTACTACAGGCTCGCAGCCGTTTGAATTACCAGAAAAATTTCGGGGAAAGGTGGGCAAACTTGTACTGATCAATATGGGACGGGTAGGCAGTGGCGATCTAGCTTTGATGAACAAACTGGTTGCACATCTAACCAATTCCGAGCATCGATTTATTGTGGTTACCGGTTCTCTCACTGATAAACTAGTACTACCAGATAACATGTGGGGACAGTCGTACGTATCGCATGTATCAGTACTACCTAAAGTTGATCTCCTGATCACTAACGGCAACAATCAATCGGTTTCGGAGGCCATCAGTTACAGCAAACCGGTTATAGTGTTGCCGCTGTTTGGCGAACATTTCGAGAGTGGCCAACGAGTAAAGGAACTGGCATTGGGACTGACACTATGTCCCTATACATGTAGTATGACTTCGTTGGTCGCATCAGTAGACGCGTTGGTCGACGACAAATATCTCCACAAACGGCTGTCACTAATTGGCAAATATATGGAAAATAGCGGCGAAAATCAAAAGGCTGTCAATCTATTGGAAAGTATTTGTAATAAATAAATAATTTTTAAATTTGTTTTTTTTTAAATTAATTATATGTTTTAGTTTTTCATTTTAATTTTTGTTACATTTATATTATATATTAATTAGACAATTATTATTATTATTATTAGAAAAAATATATTTTTTAATTCTATTATTATTTCCCTAAATAATTACTAATATTATTATAAGTATTCGTAATTTTAAAAAAAATATTTACAAAAAGTATAGTATGTTTTGTCATCTAAACTCTATTTGTATATATTATATATCTATATACTGAATGTTAATAATTAATTTAAATTATTATACAAATAATTAGAAGAAAAAAACAAATAAATAAGTAAATTAAAATCAATTAACTAAAATGTATTTTTTATGTTTTAAATCTAAATTATATAATAAAGATTTGATAATCGATATCTAAATTATAAGTTTTTTTTTAATGTAATGGCATCACATCTATTAATAACAATATTGGAGATTAATAGTTATTAAACTTAATAGACATTATTGTAATAAAAATTTGAATTTGCATTGAATTTTGTTTTAAATATTTTTTATTTTTTATACTAACTTATTTAGAATATATTCAACATTATATAATTAGTAAAAGTTAATTAAAAATTAATGTTAATTTTATTATCATATTATTTGTTACAGTTTAAAAAAATAATTTAAATAAAATTAAGCATCTTTTGTACTTTAATATATATTTTTTTAATAAAATATAAATAAATTGTAAAACTTTTTTTTGTTGGTAATATTTACAAATATTTAAATTTTATAATTTTAATTAGTGGCAAAAAATATATAAATTTTCTTCATCGTCATTCATCAATTAAGTTATTAATCTATTAATAGTTATTTTTATTAATATCTTATTATTTATTATATTATTATAAAATTTGTTACAGTTTTTTCTTACATTTTTTTTATTGATTTTAATTTTACTCTACTATATAATAGTATTTCTAAAAATTGGAAAAATAGTTATAACTAATATATTACAGTCATTTATATAAAAAAATTGTATTTAATTTATTTTGCTTATCTATTTAATTCGTTATATAGTTTCTTATTATTTAAAAAGTCATTTAAAAAATATATTGAGTTTTTATTACAATTATTTCTAATAATTATTTTTATTAAAAAACTAAATTAATTTTATTGTAATTTATAAATTTCTCCGATTTCCGTATCAATCACTACCCGATCGCCTGTTTTGAACAGCCGATGGGCGCCGTCTACGGCCACCAAACCTGGCAAACCGTATTCGCGGGCAATCACTGCACCGTGCGATATGAGTCCACCAATTTCGGTAACCAAACCGGACAACATCGGGAAATAGGGACTCCAGCCAATGTCCGTACTGTATGTTATTAAAATATCACCATGCTAAACAAAACACAAAAAATATTAAATTATAAAATACAATTTGCTTATTTTTTCAAATTTTAATTAAACTTAAATGTTAATTGTTTTTAAAAAAATAGTCGGTGATTTTGTCATTATCTAACTTATTTGAATATATTTAAAAATTATATAATTATTAAAGTTTTTTTTAAATATTACAGTTTTTTTAGTTTATATTTTTAGATTATTTTCACATATAATTATAGTTTTAAATTTTTTCCAGTCATACTTTATTGTACTGTTTGTAATATCATTTAACAATATTAAAGTTAATAAAATATAAAGATAAAATTAAAATATAAATATTATTAAATAATTAATAAACAAAATTATATTAATATTACCTCAATATTTCGGGCCTCATCCAAGCTCATGGCTACACAGCACCGACCTATTACTTTGCCAGCGCTTACTGGCGTACCTTTAGCTCGAACTGACTGCCCATCCATTGGTTCCGGTATATCCAGGCCATTGTTTGAGATATCCTATAAAAAAATAAAAAAATAAATATTAAACAATTGTTTTTAAAAATTACTATAAATATTAGTTATAATTTGTTTGTTGTTTTTTGTTGTTGAAAAACTATACATACATTTCGTGGCCTAATATACGGTCCGATAGTTGTTTCATCAAACTTAAGACTATCTAATTGTGGAAATAGTTTTCTACGCAATCGAGCCCTACCTACTATAGCAGAATCCCTGTGCAGCAGCAACTGATCAATTTCGTTGAGTGTCATATGAAACATCAGCACTGGCTCCGGTAGTCGGCCCTCCCGGACCATTTGACCGGCCAATCGCCACCAGGCTTTACGATAGACATCGACAGTGCGTACCACTTCGTGTTTGGTCCGTTCCCTGAGACTGACACCCCATTGGCATAACGGTATCGATACATACTTGAGCATTAGTCGCCTAAACCATGATAACGGTGTACTAAATGAATTCAATACTTCATCCAGCGATTCATCACTTTTAGGATTCAATACTTGATTTCCTTAATAACAAAAAAAAATATATTAATCTTTATGGAAACCATTTAAAAACACAATAATAAAAATACAAACCATTAATCATTGATTTGATAGACTGGACAACAGTAACGGGATTATCAGCCCATTGTTGTACAATAAAATCAAACTCCTTATAACCCCTGTGCCCATAATCTACCAAAAATTGTTTAAACAATCGACTGGCAGCTCCGGTATCGGAGTTTAGCAAATACTCCAACGCCCGTTCATCACTCAACTCGATAAACTGGCCCTTATTATCGATAGCATTGGCAATCTCCCTGATCTGTTTGGGTACCTGAGCGCTGATTACTTTACCATTGGCACACGAAACTAGTCGACCAAAATCGGCGTACGCGCTAACTATAAATGTGAACAATAATAATAATATTAACCCGTTATATAATATAATAAAAAAAACAATAGTATAGGTGATACGGTATATGTAAAACACTTACTTACCTCCGTTATTATTATCACTATTGCTAAACTTTTTGATACTATCCAATAGTAAAGCGGTAAAAATGGTCGAACACATGGTTGCCTTGCCGTGTGCGTAGCTAACTTTCCCCGAGTGATGACCACTTCGGATAATAGCATCAAACATATCACGTGATGTCAGCTGACACATACCATCAAACAGATCGGTATGTTTGCGGCCGTAATCGATAGCCTGTCGAAGTGTACGCTCGGGTGTCAAAAAGTACTTAACCGATCCGATGGCCAGTTGGACTTTCACCCACAACGGTATCGATCGTTTGGGTGCCCTATCGCTGGAGTCGACAAACAGATCGGGATACTGTTCCTCATCCAATTCGTGTCCAAATAAACCAATCTGTATCATACGGGCCATACGATTTTTGCCGTCGCCAACAATTGGAAAAGTGCCCTGGTAGTTAATTTTCAACAACAACAAATTAATTAATTAGAACCAATAAATTAGAAATTGACTATTACTGTACAGTAGAGGGGGTATACATACGGTTTTCAATAAGAAAAAGTAGGCATTGTTGACAATACCGCCCCCTTTATTATAGTGTACAGTGAACTCGTGTTTAGGAAAATGAAATATTTTACTCCAATCTCTCTAAAATAATTATATTAATAATAATAATAATAATAAGTGTTAACTAATAAAAATTTCAATTTAATTGCTTTACAAATCCGTTGGCATTCCAGGTAGTGGTCAGCCATGACAGGCACAGGTGCGATGTTGCGCCGGGAAACACTTCGCCAACATTGGCCCGACTATAGTATTCCCGTTCAGATTGATGGCCAGAATCCATTTCGTGTCTAATCTCCCAATCGGTCCATTTGTTCAGATTGGTTATGGGACGGGACTGTAACAAATAGACCGTATCACCGATGACACCCCATTCAATATCACGAGGATTGCCATAGTATTGGTGCACCTGTAAGGATATTGTGCCCAACTGTTTGCACATTGTGTCGCTCAGACAGCACTGGTCATTGTTAATATTATTATTATTATTGGTATCGATTTCACGAACACCGATACTATTGTCATCATCGGTGTTGAGGACAATAGATTTTAGTTTGGATCCAATGTCTATACTCTTAATATCTGGATATTTAATTAAAAAAAATCAAAAATATAATTATAATTACAAAATCAATCAATTACCAGCAATAGATCGACAGTTATCAATAGCATCGATGGCCACCCGTAGTCTAACAGTGTCTGGTTCGGCACTGGCCGACACTACACTTTCGCCAATACCGTAGTTGCCGGTAATAATTAGCTCACGTTCGTCGCCGGTCAGTGGATCGCACGTAAAGACAACGCCGGCCGATTCGCAGTTAACCATTTGCTGGACAACAACAGCCATCGGACAGTTGATTGGTTGGCCGTAACCGCGCTTATACTCGACGGCTACGTACTGAAACTGTGATGCCCAACATTTCATCACCGCTGAAGCTATACTGTCCAAACCGCGTACACCCAACAGTGTAGTCATCTGACCGGCAGTTGACATGTCCTCTGAGTCTTCGGTCAACGCCGACGATCGGACAGCAAATCGCAGCGATTGGTAGTTATCGCCAAAAAGTTTGGCCAGTTTTACACTGAGTTCTTCTCTAATATTCTCGGGTATTGCATACGAGGCTACTGTTTGGCTAACCTCTTGGCAAACAGTTTTCAGACTATCTCTAGAGTCGGACCTAATTTTTTTAATTAAAATATAAAGTTTTAAAAAATACATTTTTTAATTATAATATGTATAATAATATTATAGAAATTAATTATATAATATATATATATATTAAAATTACAATATGTAATTATATTGTATAGTAATTTAAAAAAAATTAAATGTTAGTATAAAGATATATAAATTTTGAAAATATTATAATGATGATTAATTAAATATATCATATTATACATTGTATAATATAATAATATATAATTATTACAAATTATAATACCAAATTAGCAAATTTATAAAATAATAACAAAAATAAAGATTCTCTTTCAATATTGATTGCTAAATTAATATTATAAACTTAAAATTATATATAACTTATTAAAAATACATATAAAATTATACAGTTTAGCATTTTATTATATGATAATATTATACATTTTTATTGTGTGTATATATATATATACAGTATATAAATATGTATGCATATATAATCCTGCATATACTATATTATACAAAGTCAAAATTAAAAACATTGTATTTTTCCAACCCTAGTATATACAGAATATTTACTAAAATTTTAAATCACTTAATTGATAAACTATTAACAAAATATTCTATAGTATAAGTTTAATAGTTTAATAAGTTATTGAAAGTAATAGAAAATAGTATAATATATGTTTAAATAATAAAATTCTAAATAAAAACTATTATTAAACAAACAAACAAACAAAACTAACCATGCTAATTTTTCCAATCGATCAATTTCCTGTTGCAACACATTTGAACTATCGATGAGCACATTGTAGGCATTGGTAGTCACAATCACACCATCGGGTACGACAAACCCGGGTCTACACGACGTGCGCGACAATTGTATCAATGAGGCCAATGACGCGCCTTTACCACCGCTAATGGACACGTGTTTTGCACTGTCATCGCCAATGTTTACCACTAAATCCCATACACGGCTGCCGCTATCATCGGCTAACAGTTCGGGTATTTTACTGCCAGTGCTATCGTTCTCTAGACAGCACTCACGGATGACTAGACAAACACCTTTATGTCCGTTTAAAGTCATGTCACACACCATAAACTGATCGCCATATTTGTCTCTAGACTTGTCTATATCAACCACTAGTTGACGATTTTGTTCGTCAACTTCAACAGTAAACCGCAAACTATTTGGTCCCAAACCGGCCGACTCTAACTCGTTAAATGTTGTGCCACTTATTGCCGATGTTGTATACAATAGTCCCGATCCCAGTGTAACGTAACCGGTTTGTAGGCTAAACCAATGATTTGTAATGATTGTCAATATAATTATATATTAGTTATTTGTATTAAACAAATTAAAATTTATTTAAAAAAAATAATTAAAAATATTTACCAATAATTATGATAACGACGAGCACTTATATGAAATCCAAATCCTTTACAATTTAGACCATAAATACGGGTCGCTTTGCCGACAACAGCAGCATCAGCACCGGTATCACCAGCACCTGTATCGTCTGTGACATAGTGTTTCAATTTGGTGCCCCACAGTGACAATTGTCTAGTATTGTCGGCTGAGGCTATGGTCTCATCAAATTGTACCGAACCTGTCATATGACCGCACTGTTCGTGTCTGAATTCATCAATGTTTGTATTGTCCATCGGTTGTCTAACACCTGAGCCGCTCAACTGTTTGGCCAAATAGCCGGTGTCGTAACAGCCGACAAAGTCGTACACATTGGTCAACGATGACCAAAACAGTGTCAACTTTGTGTATACTAGTGGTGACTGTTCATCAACTTCTTCTGTACTACATTTCCTCCGAAGATATCCTCTGTATTTGATCCGTAATTTCCTGAACGGTTCCAACACTTCAATTGTTAATCCGGCGATACGATAGACGGCTGCCGATGCGGTCTGGGATTTATAACCATCACTACCACCGACCACACTGGCCAACGATTGTTGTTCATTGAGCTCATAGTAGATATCATTATCATCTTTTATGATAAGCTGTATGTGAGCACTGGGACGGTTGTGATTGACGGTTGTCTGTGGTCGCCATTTGATGGCAATCAACACTAACTGTCCCCATGTATTGCTCCCATATATGACAATATTTTCAGATTTATTCTGTAATTAATTGTTATCATTATATTTATATTTGTTTTAATTAAAAATTATATAAATGTTTCTATTTTATAGTAATATTTATAGTAAAATATATGCTATTGTATTAAAATATATTAATAATTTATTTTATGTATAAAATAATTTTAACTTAATATAATAATGATTAAATTTTTATAATAAAAAAATTATATGTAACAAATATAATGTTATTTTAGGCATGTTATTTTATGTTATTTTATGTTATTTATTTTAATATTTTAGTATAACAAAATAAAAATATAATTAAAAATAAAAATATTCACATATCATACCCATTGTGGACACTCATATAGCCATTCCTGTTTAGGCGGCAAAACTCCCAGTGCATACGGGTTGTCATATTTGTTAACATCGTATAAATCAAATCTACAGTTAGATCTGTTAGACCAAAATTTGTACAATAATTGAAAATATTGAAACCAATTACCATTAATTGAATTATGAAAGTCTAATAATTTTTCATAAATTTTAGGCAATGATAGCAACGATATTAAAAGACCCATTTAATTGAATATAATTACTCTAATACACAGTTACTATAATTTATAATTATTTTATTTTAAAAAAATGTTATACATATACTGTATATAACTTATATTGTATTGTATTGTATTGTAATATTGTATATTCTGTATAAATATTTATTTATTTATTATAATGAATATAACTTATATAAATTTTATGACTCTAATGTACTTAAATAATATTTAGGTATTAAAATATATACTGTATTTAATATATATATATAAATTTTATGTTCAATGCCATTATGATAACACAATTATCACGAAAGACTTTTAATATTAATATTTAGTCTATTTATCAATCAATCTATCTATTTATACTACTATTTAATTAATTTTTATTAGATGTTTATCAATATTAATAATAATTTATATTTAATGTTTGTATCGTCATTGAGTATTTTTAACAACAAAAAAAGTATTAAATTATATTTTTAAAAATTATTTGTTAATGTTTATGATTATAATTACCATAATTATGTAATTATAATAATTATACCAGTAGATTTAATAATTTTTTTAGAGGTAATTAGTATATTATAAAACTAAATTTTTATATTTAACTACAATAGTTTTAAAAAGTCTCTGATATTTTTAATACAGTATATTTATATGATATAATATTCTAATAATTTTAAGTTTATTAATATATATTTTTAAAAATTATTTTAACGAAAATTTTATTAAAATATATAATAATATTTTTATTCTACTGTAAACTACAGTTATTAAAAAATGTGGAATTGTATTTTGATATTAATCATACCAATAATAAACTGTTTAAATATTTAACCAATATTGTTTTTAAAAAAAATTAACTTGTAATTTTTATAGTAATTTCTATAGTAATTTCTATATGATAAATAAATAACAAATTTAAAAAATTTCTATTGTTTGTAAAAAATCACTTTTACAACTTATAATTCATTATCAATTTAAAAATTATATTAAATAAATAGAAGTATAAGTTTTGAAAAAATATAAAGAATTGATTAAACAAATAATAATAATAAAAAATTAAATTTATATATTAATATATTTTATCTATAAATTAGGATTAAACAAGGTTTTCGGTTTAATGGGTAAGTAATAATATAATTGTAAAGTATAAATGATAAATTATTAATATAATTACCTGTATTTTTACTTACATTTATATCTATCAATTATTCATATATTATATTATAATAGTACATTATATATATACAGTATATAGTATAATATTATTATAGAAAAATATTGTAAAATTTAAATAATTTATATTTAAAAATTTTAAATAGTAAATAAATATATTCAACAACAACAAAATAATAATTTGTTGAAAATGTATTTTACTTAACTTATTTTATTTTATTCAATAGTATATTATTATTATTAATAATATACGGTATTATACAGTAGTAACAAAAATTTAATACATTAGATAATAGTAGTTTTAAAAACTATTTAGTAGTATAAATATTTATTCATTAATAAAAAACAACAACATTTAATGTAAATAAATAAACAATATATAAATATATTTTTTAAAAATAAATTACAAAATAATTATTATCATCAATATAATCCATAAATATATAAATTAAGTTAAAAAAAATAAAATAAAAATTAAAAATAATAATAATAATATTTTACACTAGCAAACATTTATCAAATAGCAGTAGTATAATATTATATATGGCCATATGTGTAAGTAAATTTATCATGATAAATTGCATTGGTATAATAGTATCTTGCTAATTTATAATAAAAAACCCAATTTGACTTTTACAATGATACAGTTAATAACAAAATTATCCTATTATCAAATATATTATCCAATAATTACCGGTAATAAATAAAGTATTATATATAATATCATATACTATGTATTATATACTGTATATCATATTATATACAGTATTAATTAATTAAATTAATTATAACATATATATATATACTGTATATAAACGGTATATAATACTAAATCACTTGTTATAAATGCCAGTCAAATCAAATCAAACAATTAAATGTATTGTTTGTTTGTGTGTTTGCGCTTCTCTATGCCCTAACTTTCCTTTCGGACAACAATCCGTTTAGAGATTTTTGGTGTCGTTTCTGGTGCTGACTGGACTGTAGATTAAGTTTATTATTAAGTATATTATGATTGTTAGTATTGGCAAACAATGTGTCCGACTGTGTGCCCGTATCCGAGTCGTCGTCGTCGTCATCACCGTCGCCGACACCACCGCCGGACAGATATGTGTTGTTCAGCTTATGATGACCGCCGACATTGTTGTTGGCCAACAGTTCAATACGATCGGTACCATTAACCGGATCGATGTCGTCTTCGAGTAGTGTATACCGGTTGCGGTTAGACTTACGATATCGGCGTCCCCTCAGCACCGGTCGTTTTATGCCTTTCATACGCGATATACAGCAAACACATGACCAGAATAGTGCCAATAGTGTGACAATAACTGTGAATGAGATGACAATCACGTAGAGTACACTCCAGTCTAGAAAATAATAATTGATTTTTTAAAAAAAATAAAACTAATAATAACTTTTAGTTACAAAAACTAATACATTAATTATTATATAAATAATACTGTATTAATATTTATTAATTTATAAAATAAGATAATTTAATTTTGTGCTATTTTCTACATTTTATTTTAATAATTGCTTATATATTTAATTTTTAAAAATCAATTTTTAAATATTAATTTAAATATATATTTGTGGTGAAAAAACTAACCGCAATTGCTTTCCCGGTCACCAAAATGATATCTAATGAGATCTTCCATCCAAAATGCCTCACATAAGCACCGTTTGCTGTACTGATCGCACGTTCCGTGATTTGAACAGTCGTTTTGACAAACTGTTAGATACACACAAATAATAAAATATTTATTAAGGATTAATATTTTCATAATTACCGGTAGAATAACTGAGTTTCGTTTAGTTAATATTTTTTAAGTAAAAAAATAAAATAAATATATAATAATAATAACTAAATATTTACCGACGGTTTCAATGGACAACACATCAGGTGTTATGAGAGTCGAATCGGTCTTTAATTTTTGTTTTAATTGTTTAGCAGTTTTAACTCCAGATAACCGTTTGCCGGTCAGTGTATTGATTACAGTAAATATCAGTACAACTCTATTAATAATAATAAAAAATAGTAATTATTATTATTAGATAACAAATAAATCAAATAATAATTTCTAAAAAAATAATGTTTAAAATAGTTTATACAAAAATCTAAACAAAAATATTAGACACAATACGGTATATTACTGTATTAGGAAACGTCAATAACCTATAATTTTATTTTTTTAACTACCTGTTCACTAAATATACCGGTGCTATCGACTACAGATTATCGCATTACATACCTATGGCTATGTGTAGTAGCCGTCAAGCCGACTAACTCTACACGAATAGGTTGTCCTTCAGCGGTCAACAACAATTCAAGACGTTTAACAAGTGTCGACTCCTGATCGGTGGTAAACGTTTTGATATCAGTGTTCAGTATTAACTCGATTTCGTCGGACATATCGACAGCTTGTTTAACAATCAGTGAAACCACTTGAGATGATTGTGAGCCCTGACTGTCGGTAACAGTCAGCCGAAATAAATAGCGGCCGGCAATCAAATTTGTTAGCCGAAGTAATGGCGTATGGCTTGAGTTGCCAATAATATCGCCGCCGGCCAACGATTCGGGTGTCCGCTCCCATAGATAGCCGACAATTTTGACGTCGTCGTAGCTAAGACTGCCGTTCAGTACCACTTCAGTGACCGGCAATGTTACTGTACGGTCGCCACCTGTGACGGCTACGGGCGGTGTGTTTTTTGCCTGAACTACCGACACCTTAACAGTTGTCGATGAGTTAGACTCTTTGGAGTCCCAAACTGTTAGCCGAAACTCGTAATCGCCGGGATATATCTTAGTGGACAACGAAGCTATCGATTCGTTGGCCGCTATTATTTCTATTGTGTTCGGACCTACAATAAAATAAGTGAGGAAGTATAGTTAAATATAACTGTCCTCTAATATTAGTATTAATAAAACAAACCGCTGATCTGTTCCCACAGCCACCGTGTAATAGCCGTATCATCGTTAGACTTACTGCCGTCTAATACAATATTGTTGACTACCGGTAACTCTACCCGAATGATGTCCGTACCGACTGCGGCTACGGGAGGTCTGTTGTTCTCAGGTTTGACAAACACATGCACTTCGGCATTGGACGTCTGATTGGACGTATCGGTCACTTTCAATATGAACTTATAGACCCCGACCTCCAGTTTGGACAGATGCAGAAACGGTGTCGAAGTGCCATCCATATCAACGGCTATCGGTTTACCATTTTTTGGCTCCTCCTGCGATCGGGTCCATTGCCACAGTGTTATGCCCTTATCATCAGTAGACTGGTTACCCATTAGCGTAATCTCGTTTTGCGGTAGAAATATTATCTGGTCGTGACCGGCATTAGCCGTCGGCGGATAGTCAATCTCTTTGAGTACCGTTATGTTGGCAATGGTTGAATTGGTGTCACCGTCTGTGTCGGTAACTGTCAGCTTTAGTTGATAAAAGCCTGCCATCAGATCTTTTAGCTGCAGTGTAGGACTGGATGGCAATTGATTATTCTTGTAGCCGATCGGTACTACAAGTGTTTCCCTATAATGAAAACAACATTTTTTTATGAACACAATCCCAATGACTAATTTAATTAGGGATTAGGTATAATCATACCATTCGTATTTAACAATCTTATTGTTGTTGTCGTCGGTAGAAAACGAACCGTCGAGTACTGTATCTTTGTTGGGCAACTGTACTGTCGAGTTGGCCGGTTGTATGACCGCAACAGGCGGTTTGTTAATACGTTTCGGTGGCAATACTGTCACATTGACAGTGGCACTGCCAGTCACAACAACATCGTTGTCGGTGACACTAACTCTGAACGTATAGTTACCAGCTTTCAAATGGGACAGTCGTATGGTGTCGGTGTTGGCGCCCTCCATATCGCCCATATTGTCTCCATTAGACGGTTTGCTAATCAGTTGCCACTCGTAGTGATAAGTATGGCCAGAATTAGCCGCCGGCAACACAAATGCCGATAAGGTTACCTCGTCTTTGGGCAATTGAATTGTCTGAATAAGTAATTATTAAATCAAATTAATAGTTAATAATTATATTATTATTATTATAGTAGTAGTTATATACTTGATTAGGACCGGCCGATACCACCATATGCGATGAAACGCTATCACCTCCACCACCGCTAACTGGACTACTTGTTGTATTAACACTATTGGCAGAGCTGCTATTTTTTGAGATCATTGTTTGGGCACCGGTATCACTACTACTACTACTACTACTACTACTAGAGCTGCTATCACCAACAGCTATTTGACTATCACTACTGCCGGCCGCTTCTGAACTACTAGACTGGCTATCCCTATACTGGAGAGCCAATCGTTCGTCCGCCGGAGCCGTGGACACAGTTGGAGGCGGTCGGCACTGGTGTCTATCGTTTCGTTGCCAACCCTTACGACAAACACAGACACCCTGTCGGCGCCGGTTATTAGATTTTCTGCACATTTCGTTTTGCTGGCATTCGTTCAATCCTATTGTGCAAATTGTGTCCAATTGAGTGCCTCCTCCTCCTCCATCTCCACCTACTTGTGTCCCCTTTCCGTCGTCGGTGTCCTCCTCAGTCATATCGTTCGGATAGTCGTCTCCGAAACCAACAACACTGTCTTCACGGCGTTGTTTGTCGTCATCATTATTGTTGGAGTATTCATCATCATTACTATTACACACATAAAAATAGTTTTATTAATTAATATTAATTATTATTAATATATAAATATCGTTATTTAAAATAATTATAATCACTAACAAATAATTAATATAAAAATTATTAAAAAAAAATTATAAGGTATTAATAAATAATACAATTAAAAAAAATTTACATAAATTATAAATAATTAATAACATAAATTTTAATAATAACTAATTTACATGTCTGTATAGTCGGCGTCAAACAGGTTGCCGGTTGGTTGGCGTTGCGGCTCCGGTATGTCGGCATTGCGTACCAAAACCATTGATGTTTTATAGTACTTATTGCCCGACCGTTTGACCGGTTCGCACAATTTCATCGACCGGCAGGTAATATGAAAACATGAGTCGTTATGAAAAAATACGACATTACAGGACTGTCGCTGACAACAGGATTCCGTACACGACAGTAGTGTCCGGTGTTGCGGCAGTTTTGTAAACGAACCCGAATTGATACCTGTGCCGCACAGGTAACAGGTGCACATAGGTGTGGGTGCAATGCAATGCAATAATAAATATATTAATTTTTGAAATATAATAATAAATAAAATTATTAAATATTTTGTTTTATATATATATATATATTACTAGAAAATTTACTATTGATTAATAAATAATTAAAAAAATACTGTATATGTATTTGAGAGTATATTAAATTTTTTATTTTAATAAAAATTACTGCAATAGTATTAAATAATTTTTAATAAAAAATAATAATTATATTTTATACAATATAATAAAAACTATATTTTTATAGTAAAGTGTAATTAGTTTTTTTTAAAAAAAATATAAATTAGTAATTCATTAAAATTAGTTTAAAATATATAAATAATTATAGAGAAAATCAATTACTAAATAAATATTTGATTTAATAAATTAATTATTTATATATTTATTAATTAATTAAAAAAATAAACATGATAGTTTTTTTTGTAATAAAATTAAAATTTTATTAATTAAAAAATATATATTTTCAGAATTGACAACTTACTCTTTGGCGTCACGTGACTAATTACTTTTAGCGGCTGATAATCACTGGCCGGACAATTCAATTTGGAAACTGTCGATGCTTGTATTAATATCGATGAAAAATGATCATGGTCAAAATCATTTAGAACATTGTACACAATTAGCAACAAGATCAATTTATTCGCTAGTAGTGAATAATTGCATAATAAATGACTACAAAATGATGATGATGATAATTTGACAACAAACATATGTAACATGATTAGTTGAGTTTTTTAATAATTATTTTAACATAATAAATAATTTAGATTAACAAGTAAATTTTTTTTGGAAATATTGACTGGAATGTACTAGAACAATTTAATTAATTAATTACTATATTAGTAAATATTGCACATTATTTTGTTAGTTACGTTTATGTTTACTATATTAATGCATATTTTTTAATTAATAAATTATTTGTTTAAAAAAAACTGTAGTCAATTAATGTTAACAATGTAAATTTATGATAATATAACAATAATAATGCTAATGTCATCATGATATTAATAATTTTATTTTTAAAAAATTAATCTACAAAAAAATGTTAAATATAGTATATTATTTTTCTATCACTAATAAAATTGCAACATGTTCATTTACGTTATGGTTCAGTTATAGATTTTACCAATTTCTACATGTACAATTTATATTTACTTTTTTATATAGCTATTGTAGTAATGTATTATTATTATTATTATTATTTATTTTTATTTATCAAACTGTAACTATTGGTGTTTTTTAAATATTATACATATAATACGTTTATTTTTATTATATTAAATAGCAGACACAAAAATATTAAAACATATTAATAATTAAATTTTTATTAAATTTTCATTAAATTTTATACAGTATAAATATTCTAAAAATTTTAATAAATATGACCATGCTTATAATAATAGTAATTTATTTTTAGTATTGTTTATATATAATATGTACATGTACAAATACACATTTATATATTGTAGTGCATTCTATGGACAATAAATATAATTATTTTTTTTTAAAAATAGTAAATTATTAGACAAAACATATGAAACTAGTTATATATATAAAATCAGTGATTATCTAAAGTTGCATATTTATATTTTAACATACAACTAGTACTGTACTACTACCGGTTAATGTAGAGTATAAACAACAAATAAAACGTTAAAATAGTTTATAACTTTGTACAATCTAATTTAAAAAAAAATACAATTAATTATAAAAAATTGATCAGTGTAAATTAAGTAATATAAAACAATTTTTAAATATTAAACAAAATTTCTCTCTCTCTATAACTGACAAACTTATACTCAAACTTTAGCGCATGTATTGTATAACTATAAGTAAAAAAAAATTGTATTTTATGGCAACTGTTGAAAAACTATGGCCACCATATTAACAACAACAACATATATAATACAGTGTGTAATACATGTACACACTATTACACACACAACTCAATTGTGATGAGAGGTTAGAGAGGGAGCACAGGGAGGGAAGGGAGAGAACATACCCTAACACACACATACATATACACACAGTTGTACAGACAGTTGTGTCAAACATCTATACACACACACAGAGAGTATGAGTGTGTGTTTATATACAGTACTAATAAACCATTTGAATGAAACACACAATTACTTTGACTAACTATAATGCCGTGTCTAACATAACACAACACTTTAGACACACACCTAATAATCAAAACCTAACCATCGCTTCAATCATATTATTTTTGACACATCGTTGACATCGACATCGACAACGACGACAACCGGCCACACAATAGCTGATCCGTCGTACAGACAACTACTTCGCAACTCTGCCGCCACTGACGACGTCCACGAAGAAGACCAAAGTCGTCATATCATCAGTGAGTGGACAGACAACTGACACATACAATGGCCGGCAGTAGTAGCGGTAGTGGCGGTGGCGGTAATCAGGAACGGTATGTCCTACAGGTATACGTCGGTTCACTGTCGCGACTGTACGAAGCCCTGAGTATTGAGGCCTCGAAGACAACGACTGCCGAAGAAATTGTCGACTGTATTGCCGAAAAACTGCTCATCAAAGACGGTCCGTGCTATGAATTGGCCGAAGTTATGGCCGACAGTGCCGGCGGCCAGGATTGTAAAGAGCGACGACTGGCCGCTGGCGAATACCCGGTGGCCTTGCAGTTGTTGTGGCCAAAGGCGTCGGCCGCTGACTATAAGTTTTGTTTGCGCCGTAAAATGCAGACAATGAACTGGTCGTTGTCGTGGACCGATACCAATGATAAGCTGATCCGCGACTATTTTCTACGATTTCTCTATCAGCCGAGGGATAGGGAGTATCCCGATCTGTGCCAACTGCCCGATCTCACCGAACAGACACTGCTCGACAATTTGAAGGTATGTTTTAATTAATGTCTTTCATTATGTGTCCGCGCGATACCCGATCCCGACACCCGCTATCTAACCACACAATAAGTTGATTGATATATAGATAGTATAGCATAGGATAGCATAGGATAGCATAGTATATGATAACATATCAAACATAGTGGTAATCTATGGGCCAATGTTTTTACAGTACATTTGATTGATTGATTGATCGATTGATTATAATTATTTAGTTAATTAATAATTAATTAATTATTAATTAATTATTTATTTATCTAAACAATAGTTATTTATTTAATTAGATAACTGTAATAATTTATATTATTTATATATATTAAATAACAATTATTTAGATAATTAATTTAGTTTTTTAATTTTAAATTAATTTAAGTTAATGAGATTATATTCATTATTTGTTTATTACTATTTATTTTATTTATATTTTGTTGTAATGTTTTGTAATATCTCCTTAAAAACTAATAATAATTATATTTAAGAGTTATTATTATTAATAATAATATTTAAAAACTTTATAACAACATTTAATATTATTAATAATTTTTGTTATGTAATAAGATTTTTGTTTTATTTTTAATTAATTAAATATTTTTATGTAATTTCAATGTGAGCTGAAAAAATATTTTTATTATTTTATTAATTAAGTGCCACCTTATAAAATTTATATTTATTTATTTATTTTACATTTTGACAATTATTACTTATACAAGTATTTAAAAATATACATATACTTAAAATTATTAATATATACAGTACTAATCTAATAAGTTGATCTTATTATGACATAAATGGTTATATTATATAATAATTTTATAATTATTTAATAAAAACAATTGAGGTTATCATTTAATCGTTATCATCTCTCAATAAAAATATATTTTGTACTTTAACAGTAAATATATATAAAGTCTAGTTAATCATGATGTAAGCTCAATTAATAATAATAAGCTAGATCAGTTAAGTTAATAAATAATTTATATATATATATATATAATTGTCTAACAAATGTTATTTTTAGTAAAATACACGATTTTTATCATGTAGTTATTAATTAATTTTATTAAATAAATAATTAATTAATTAAACAATTTTGTTTGATTACATTTCAAAAATGAATCATCACTAAATTTTTTTGATAATTGTTATTTTGTTTACTGGTATTGAATAATAATAATAATAATTACAAACAATTTTATTTGATAATAATAATACAGTATTATTATTATAATTATATTTAAAAGTTTTGGTTTTATTTTTATAATAATAATTATATACTCTGTTGTATTTTCACTGATAGTTATGTTATGTGTGTTTATAAAGTTTATATATACAGTATTATATATATATAAATAAAATTGTTGGCAAATGTTATAAAAATAAACTTGATTCAAATTCAAGTTAATATTATTATTGCAATATTATTATTATTATTATTATTTTTAATAAAAACAAAATATGCATAATTAATATTATCCATACCGTCTCTGTCAGCAATTCATATATAATAATGTTATTTACAGTAAATTTTTTTGTGTAGTGTATGTATGTGTGTGTGTGATGTATACTTAAGATTTATATTTATATATTTAATAATAATGTTAATAAAAATATTAGTGTTTAAATAGAAAATATGTCATTTACATACAGTTATACTATATTTATACATGAAATATATGTCAATTAAAATTATAGTTTATTTTATATATATATTAATAATTTGACTTATTATTATTGATTATACATACAAATACTTTTACTTATGAAAATCATTGATTGAATATAAGTTATAAATTTTATATAAATAAACCAGCTGGTATTTATTATTAGTATATTAATAAATATTATTATCGCACACATAGACACACACACACACACACACACACACTATGTATAAATAATATTTGTTTTTATTATTTTATTGCATTTTTGGACTATAACCAGAAAATTAATTAAATTAATTTCTATATGTCTCACTGTGTGTGTGTGTTAGTAATGTATGTGTGTATATATGTATGTATTTGTTATTTGCAACAAACCTAATAATTTTTATTATTTATAAAAAAAAGTATATAAGTATTTTTAATTATGTTATTAATAGAAATGCATCACACATTTTAAAATATTGTATATACTGTATATATCACCGAAAAAAAAATTAAAATTCAAAAATGTGTTTATATATTGTTTATAAGCTTTTAAAAAAAATTGAAAAATACATATGTGTGTCTGTGTATATGTAATTTTCAACCAACAACAAAAATATAATAATTTATCATGATCTTGAGTTAATGGATTTTTTTTATAAAAATTTTATTTATTTTTATTTATATCATTAGAATGTGTGTTATATATTTATAACATAATTATAAAATTTAAAAAAAATAAATAAATTTATAATTTTAGACATGTATATTTGTACAATTTTTGAATTTTAAAACAATGTGTTTGTCTATGCATTTGGTGTCTATGTGTGTGATAAAATTAGACTTGTTGATTTTTGCAAAATTTACAATAGTATTGTATTGTTATATCTTGTTAACAACAAAAATTAATTACAAATAATTAAAAAAGTTAAATTATTTTTTTTCTACAAAATAACTTTAAGTTATAATTTTGTTGTTGTTAATATCAAACTATTAAATTAAATTAGTTTTAACACACAAAAAAAATATTGTATAGTTATGATGATTATTTGATGATACTATTATTGTTAGACTAACTTGTTTATATATTTATTTCTCACATTTAACTTGCTTAAACATTTATATGTATAGATTTATATTGTACTTATTATTTAAATAGTATATAATTAAATATCGCAACATTAATATTGCATAAATATATCATAAATTTAAATATGATATCTTATGTGTGAAGGAAAAAAAGGTTAGATTAATAAAATTATTTAATACATTAGAAATTTAAATATATATTACATTCTTGTTTAGTATCATTTAAACTAATTTTTTTTTACAATTTAGATATTTTATTATCATTTAACTTGTTTTTCTATTTTGTTAATACAATTAGATATATACAGTATTTATAACAATTTGATTTTTTTCCTTAACTATTAAATTAATTTTATTCAATTCACAATTATATTATTGTAAATATTGTTCATAGAATTTAATTATATTTTGCTTATTATTTAAATGTCATTCAAAATAATAACAAACAAAAAAAACAATTGAAATATTTTATTAGAGATTTAAATCAAGAAAATATGTAATCGTGTGTATATTATAATAGATAAAAAACTGTATCACCTTGATGATAATTGATTTAAGAAACAATAACAATTTAACTATTGTCATCTATTTTTTGTTGTTTTTAATTTAATATATTTTCACTCTAAATAATAAAATTGATATTGACAATAATAAATAATATAGATACATCATACAATTTTATTACTTATTTAATCTATAGTAGATATTATTATTATTATTATTATTACATTTAAAGTAAATATTTGTTATCTAAGATCACACATTGGAGGTGTTATTTTGTGACACAATAAATATATTACTATTTTTTTTATTATATTACTCAATATATTTACAATAAATGTTGTAAATAGGATTTTATCTATTTTATTATAATTTTAATGTTATATAAATATACTGTATATATGTTTTTTATTTGCATTAGCAAAACTTTTATATAAAATTATTTATATAATCCCTTATGTGTGTATGTATGAGAGAGAGAGAGAGAGAGAGAGAGAGATTGTATTTAAAATAAATATAATGTAAAAACATTTTTATTAAATTGAAAAAATATTTTTAAAACTAATGTAAATTATAATAAAATTGTGTGAATAGGAAATTATATGTTTAATATAATTGAGAATATTTATTTATTTAATTGTTATTTTTGTTTTAATTTACTTTCTTATGTGTAAAAACAAATTTTAGACAAAACACATATGAAAATAATTTGTTGTTGTTTTTTCATGATGTTTGTTTTGTGTGTTTTGAATTTTTGAATAATATTTAAAGTTAATTATTATATTAATATAAAAATATCTACAGTAATTATAATTGTTGTTATCATTTATTATTTACATTATTAATAACGATTATAATTGCTCTCTCTCTCCCCAAAAAATACAACAACAACAATAGCACTAATAATAATACTGTAGATATTAGTATGCTTTTAATAAATTACAAAATTAATAATAATAATAATATTAATAATAATTTTAAGGTTTATTAGCTCTCTCTCTCTCTCTCTCTCTCTCTCTCTCTCTCTCTCTCTCTCTGCCAATAAACGGATATACATTTGTATAGTATATGTAAAACACATTTTTGTATTCAATCAGTTAGTTATTCACTACAAAAATGCCGGTTCAATATACAGTATACATTCATTTCAAACTCATATATATATATGTACTGTATTAAATGTCCTTGCTAAAATTGTGATATATATTATCATCTATATTATATTGTATTAATTTACCCTACACACACAAACTTGCACACAATAATATTATTGATGTTTTCAATTTTCACTTTATTGTATTGTATTGTATTGTTATTTTTACAATACAATACATAAAATTTATATACACTTATTGTATCCAAAAGCTATATAATATTAGATATTTTTCATCAAACTTTTTCACTAAAAACTCATAATAACATCAACAATAATAAAAATTTTTAAAAATGCTTTTATGTTGATTGAAATACAATTGTTTTTCAACACAAATGTTTTATTTTAAAAACATTTTGTTGTTGTTGATCTAACCATCATCATTTATTATTATTATTATTATTACAGTATATTACTGTATTATTTTGGTTGTTTCATGAGTTTGTATAGTATATTAATATTAAATTTTATTTATCCTATTTTTTATATATTGATTGAATTTATTGTTGTTTTGTGAAATTTATTATTATTATTATTTTGTAAAATGAAAATTTAATTGTCAAATACCATTTGTAGAATTAGATATTTATTATAATTTATTATTT